TAAGATCTTCTGCAAGAGGGACAGAGGGAACTGCACCCTGCGAGTAGAAGAGAAACTGTGCATTCGAGACGGTCGGGATTTGAACAGAGCAGCCGCTCTGGAAACATATGAGTTGGGCATCAGCAATGAAGTCCATCTGCCTGCTCAGACTCGGCCGTCACTTGCTGGACCGCCGCAGCATCAAAGCGGCCACTCCTTAATCGATTTACGCACTCAGGCTGTATCTTTGCAAATCCAAAGCCCTACACTATCCTGAGGCCTTCAAATCTTGAAACCTTCAATTAAATTAACCCCTAACCCGCCTCGTATGCAAGACGCGGGACTCGGGAATGACTCGGGTGGTGGTTGGCTTGTCTCAAGCATCCCTCGCCTAGCGGCCTAGCAGTGGCCCGAGTGCAACATGGCAACTCGATTGCTGTAATGCCGCCTTGAGGAGCCCCTTCAAGACCAGAAGCCCTAGAATCGGGCAACACGGTACTAAGCCACCGCCTCAGCAGCCGGCCATGGTGGCAGCTTGGCAGTCTGTGTCCAAACCCCTTCCAGGATGTTGGTCCTGCGTTTCAGGAGGTCCCAGCGCAGATGAGGAGACGAATCCGCCCTGCGGGTAGTAATTGTCTACGGAGGTAGTTGCACTTGCACTCCGGGCAGTTTTGACACGCTGCATGTCTGGGGCTGCCCACGGGCTTGGCGTCCACTGCCAGACCTGGCACACTTCACACTCTTTCTTGCACCCGTTGAAGAAGAATCTGCTTCAAGCTCACGAGGAGAGGTTCTTTCTCAAGGGCTCTTGCCTTCTCCCAGCTGCAAAGCTGAGCGGCTCTTGTATAGCTGCACAAACTGTCTGGGCACGGCCTCCTTGATTGGGCCCTCATTGCCTAGTCCGCCGAGCCTTGGGACGAAGCAACGCAGCGCGCCACAGGGAGATGTGAGCAACTGCAACTGAGGGGCATCAGAACAGCTCCATCCGAAAGGCCTGCAGTCCACAGCGAGGGAGGAGCTGTGGAGCGCTGGAGCCGTGTAACTACTAAGTACGAGTACTAAGTACGAGTAGAGTAGCTGAGTAGCATCAGCCTTGGACATTCTCAAGACACCCTTCCAGGCCCTGAGTTCGGGATATCCGCAAAATCTGGGATCCCATATAATCATACTCCCTTGAGGCGACCGAATGTTTTGAGTACTCTCAGGGCGCTTCACTCAGAGACGCCCCGGGCCTATAGAAGCTTGCCTCGATCGAGGCGTCCAGGGTGGATCCCCCATCGGATCCCACCTCTGCGCGTTATTCGGCTCAGCTTTTGTTTTTGTGGCACTGAGACTGAGATCACGGGACTTTTTGTTTCTTGTTTTCTCACTACAGATTTGCCGTCTCAGGCATTCTTGCGACCTCTGCTTAACGCTGGACTGCACACTGGTACACGTTGGCTTTTGAAGGCGATTACTAACTACAGGGAGGAGCAGCGGCCAGCTCCTGGTTGACACCTGCTGACTTCTGATGTTGACGCAACCCAAGACGTAGAATCTGTGATTCCTTAAAGGTCAAATGTACTTGGCGAGGTCCTGCTTCCCACGCATTTGACCCCTGTTCTCACACACACAACACACACACACACACACACCCCTCTCTAGCGCATCTCGAACGGTCAGCGGATAGGCACAAGTATAACAGCCTTTCATGGACTGCAGCAGGACTGGACAGTGGGCTGCATGCCGGCATGCGGGCCAGCACAATGCGATTGCGCATGCGCGCAGAAACATTCAATAGAATCCTTCAGTTTCGCCATCAGCTTAGAGTGAAGCTGTGTGACGCAATCGCGGGTATCCACTGTCACCTGCTCAGGAAGAGACATGTATGGTCACTGAATGTGCCCGGATAACCATGCATAGTATAGGCCCTTGGCCATGTAGCACCTGTGACCTATCAAATTAGGTGTCTATTCCATGGCTCGAAAGCAAGGTCATACATGTCCTGAGTCCTATCGCAAAACTGTTCCTTAGGACTGGCAGCTTCACCAGGCCTCACCAAAGTTGCAGTACATGATGTACGTGCTGCGAAAAAGCGGGTTCCTCAATGGCTCAACTGTCAAGGCCTTGAAAAAACACTCGTCCATCATAAAGGAGCGGCCCAGGAGTCATCTCAGAATGGAGCAGATTTCTGCAGAGCCGCTCCTCTTGACCACCGCTGGCCTCAATAGAAACAGATAGAAACTGGTCCAAGTGCCACATGCCGGTAAAGAACGCAGGAAGCCAAGTCTTGCAACTCAGCGTGCCACGATGATGTTCAGAGGGGAAGCACTCACGGACTGTTCTCCCAAGCGCACCGTGATGGATTGAGAAGGCTGACATCGCCTGTCAGGTTCCGCGGCCAAGTCCGATGCGCTGACACGGTAATGCACGTTCTTCGCCTACCGTGTTAAAGGGGCTCTTGCTGCATTGCGTGCTTTAGAAGTCCAACTGACGAGTTGAAAGCGCGGTTAGAGTTACATTTACTCCCGCAAGTGCAGGGCCCAGGGCTGCGTGTCCGAAAGCGCAATGCATAGATGCACTGTCATGTTATCTCATGCTATTTCCAAACTATTGTGAGGGCAGAAATTGCGGGCAGCATGTCCATGCTCACACAGCACGCACGAAGAAAGAGCTGGTGCCCTGTGTTTACACAGTTTCGTCATCCACAGTTTGCAGGAGTTTGTGCACCCGGTACTGCCCTGCGGATCTGAACAGATCTGAGCATGGCAGCTCTCCCAGGTGTCCAGTATGCAGGCCTTGGCGAGCAGCCCTCTGTAGTGATGTTCAAGGTGCCCTCGAAGCAGCTAATGATGATCGAGCCTGGCACTGCTCAGATTTGCTTTGCGACTTGCTGTGCTCTGGCAGCCTCCTACTCACTTGAGCCGGACGCAGCTCTCGGTGCTGCCTCTCAACTCAAAGGAATGGGAGCCTTCGTACCCGAAAGTGACGATCGCGCAGTCGCGCTCCTTCCGAATGCTCTCTCTTAACAGATAAACGCAGAAGTTGCAACTCAACATGAAGAGGGGTACGATACCCATGAGCATTGAGCAAGATTCGCGCATGCCAGCTGCGCCTTAGTTGCCTCTACTATACCTTGTGACATCGTGTGCTACGGTTCGGACACACTGCCTGCCTGCAGTGTCCCAACCCCTTAAGATACACCTTGTACCATGTCCCCCGCCGATTTCAAGCCGAAGCACGTGCATTAGACATGCGCAATATGTCGATCGCGTTCTACATCATGCGCACGAGGGTTTAGGGTTCCATTAGAAGAATGTACATACCATGTTGTGGATTTATTGAAGAAAAGAAGAAACACGGAGCCTTCGACGCTCACACTCGCGCGAGGCAAGTAAGGCTATTGTTCGAACAATGCAACGTATGGGTAATGATTTCTTTGGAGAAAATAGGCGCCTCCATGGGGAGCTTGCAGCCCTCGTGCCTTACGCACGGACTTATGCGTAAGGCGCGTGAAGTACAAGCTACTACTGCTGATATCTGGAAGCCAATTCTGTGCGCAACCGGGCTATGAGACAGTGGATTCAGAATATTCACTGTAGTTGACAGTGACTGACAATGTGCCGGTTCATCGGAAGCAACAAGGCTGCACATCCGGATCGTCATCGAAAGGCAGTCAATGAATCAATGAATCCCTCCCGTCTACTCCTGGGACTCCAAGTGGAGGATGGTTCGGCTTGGGCCCACCAGCGCTACAACATCACCGACCTGGCAGGATGACGGATCCTTTGCCACAGCCTGAATCACTGAAGTCTCCTGAAACCCGCCAAGGTGCAGCAAGTCTTGCAACAACTGTACTTTCCAGACTGCAGGAAGTGTGTAGGCTGCGCAGTTTTGCATACCCACGCACCCACGGCCTGGACTTCTTCGGCCAAAGTTGGTTCTGGGTCGGCACATGTGAGGCTGGGAAGCTCATGAAAAGCAAGGTTGGACAAAAGGCTAGGCCTAGGAATGCATGATCATGCCTTGTTGCGGCATGCGAAATGACACTTGCTGGATCTCAGCTGCTAAGGGCAGTGCTGCAGGGCACCGGAGCCTGGATAAGGCGCAGAAGCAACCTGCAGTGGCAAGCATTTGATACCAGCTTCTCGCACCATGTAATGTGAGAATAGGCTGCCTCATGCTGCCTCCAACCTGAGGTCCGGACAGAAAAATAACGCATGCCTGCCTGGCCTGCCTCAACATCGCACAAGTGCCGTGTCAAGTCTGAGCACTTCAGCCATTGCCTGCGCTGTGTTATGCAGTGCTCTTTGTTGCGAGTTGTAAGTATCTGCATTCTTGAGTCGATTCACGCAACACACCACGTGCGCATGCGACATGCACTGTTCGTGCATAGTTGCATGCACCGCTTTTCAAACTGCATTTGCGCTTGCATGCTTTCGTTGTGATTGCTGGGCTGCTGTGCTGGATGCATGAGAAGCTTACATGATGTTCTACGCAGCCGCAGGAACTTGAATCCGGAAACGGCACGGCGTTTCGAGATCGACCAGCAGCAATCCTAAGGTCCTAAACTGTGTCGAGACGCATGTCGGCATTGCGAACACTGCTCTGCTTTTCATTCAGGCCTTAAATCCGCACACGGGCAGATAAAGCCTTCCACTCCAAGAAACTACTCATAGCCACTAGAAGGGAATGAATCGAAATTCAAGTGTCGTGGGCATGCCGGAACCAAGAAAGAAAGCGAGAATCTCAAGAGAGAACGCTTGTCCTTGAATTACTTGCCCCTTATACTGGCTTGTAGCAGTCACAAATCCGGCCGGTGCCCAGCACGCGGGGAACTGAACGATTCGCGTTGTAACATGATAGGGCCTCTATTTGAAGAACGCCTGCGACTTTAGCGAAGCTGCCTTCGGCATGTTCGCTCAGCAGGTTCAGCCTGCTTATCAGGCTTTTCGCATGGCATGTCCACGCCGACCATTCTTCCACTTTGTGGAGGTACAGCAGAAACATGCCCATCCCTTCTTTCAGAGCTGTTCGTCTGCTCAGCAGCTGAGAGGATAGCTCTGCCAAAGGTTCGGGTTGAAGGCCTCCCGTGACGTAGGATCGGCACACAGGCCCCGTAGGTAGCCAGGACCCAGCAGCAACTCCAAGCAGCAGATAGTGTACACGTTCATGATCCAGATCATGCTCAAGGTTACTGGCCAGGACCTGAACATCCACAAGTTTGCATAAGCACAGCCGATCCAGTCTTCACGGACAGCAGAAAAGGAGCCGGCTTATCATGTGGCAGCCAGCACTGCCCACGGCACATTACGGACTAATCACTATTCGACGACCGTGCATACCGAGCAATACCGAGCAAGGATGTATAAGAAACACGGCAGCGCGTGTCGGTGCATGATGGTGCGTGCACACACGCACGCACAACACACACACACACACACACACAACACACACACAGAGACAGAGACAGAGACAGAGACAGAGACAGAGACAGAGACAGAGACAGAGACAGACACAGAGACAGAGACAGAGACACAGACACAGACACAGACACAGACACAGACACACACACACACACACACACACACACAGAGAGAGACACACACAGACACACACACACACACACACACAGAGACACACAGACACACAGACACACACACACACACACACACACACACCTACGCACGCACGCACGCTCGCACGCAGGCACGCACGCACGGAGAGGGACTGAGTCGGAGGCGCAAATCTCTCAACCTTCTTTCCATGTGTGGTCCGGAATGAGGGGGGTTCTCTTGGTCTTCCTTGCTCCAATCCGTCGTCACAGCCCTTTTCTTCGGCGCCTTTTGTAGATTGTAAAGAAAGACATGTTCGGAACTGTGAGTGTGTTCTCCTTTTTCTCCCTTACTGGTCCGTTGCAAGGAAGTGGTGCGAAACTTCATCCGCTTTTCTCTCACGAGGCCTTGTGCTCGAAACATGTTTGCAAAACACAAAAGAGGGTCAGGGGCCTCTCTCGCTCTCTCCAGCCCTCTGGCTTTCTGAGACTCGCAGGCCTTCTGATGCCTTTTGTTCCAAATCCTGCTCTGGCGACAGGCGCAAACACTTCTGTGCGCCAGGTGGGGTCCCGGCATCCTTTTACAAACGTGCTGCAGTAACACGTGATAACACGTGTCTGGGCACCTGAGGCGCGAGCCAACTTCTCAAATGCCAAAGGCGAAGTGCGGTGTGCACCTTGAGATCCTGGCCCCACCACCTGCGAACCACGCCGGAGAATCCTGTTTCTACACCGCCCGTGCTCACAGCACTGCTGACAGACGGACGTCGTCGACGAGATGGGCCTGAGAATTCCGACCCGTCACTCTTCACAGAGCGTTTTGGGCTCACGCCTGGGCTGACGTTCACTGGGCTGTCGCCCAATGGGCTGTGTTCAGGCGTGGAGCTCACGCTGCCGTTGCTCACCCTGCGCTCCCAATCGCATGGTTCTGGAAGAACGGGGCCCGTAACGGAGCTCCACTGGGTAAGTGGCACAGTGCTTTGGTACGGTGAGTATGCGTCAAGTGAAGAGAAATACTCGGCAGCTGCCTGTGGCACGGGCGCGAAAGGCAAGAGCTCCCAGTGATGAAAAACATCCTCGAGAACTTCAAAAACGAATATCACAGCAAGAGCTACTACTGTGTTCGTGGAGCGGAAAAGTCCATGGCCGGTGACCAGCTGAACAAGACCGAGCACAATCGGAGCGATCATTCGGGGATACCCGCAGCTGATCTTGGCGACGTCGTGAAGTCGGCTGATGGCAGTTGGCGCGGTGCACCCCAATACGAACCGTGGCCGCAACCCCAGGCATGTGAGCGTTTTGGTCACCAGGAACCTGCTCCATCCCTGCCGGTTCATGACGTTCCTGAGCTGCTTCAGGTTTTTTGTCTCCCCCAAGATAACCTCTAAACCCGAAACTCTGCTCCCTTGGAAGCCCAGGGACAACGCCAGTGATAGCATACCTGTGAAGATCCAGAAGTAATTGCTGCCATCAAACACCGTGGAAGCCAGAACCGACACCAACCTGGCACAGGGCTCTGCTTTCACAAGTCAATTACACTCAGGCAAGTACAGAATTTCAGAGTCAGTTGAAAGCAAGGAGGGATGGTTCAGGATGTGGCAGCTGTGGACCAAAACTCTGATATCCCGATCTGGAAATATCTGGAACACATCTTGAGTCTCAGAAGTGTCTAGGCTTTTGTCTCTAGGCACTCGTGCGGATTCTGGCAAAAGCACAAACCATGAAGGGCACGGAAAATTCACTCGCCAGAATGTGGCCAAGCCTGCAAGTCTCTGTGAAAGCATGGATTGCCACCGGAACCACAGGCAAGGTACTTTTTGCTTGGTCTCCCCAGGCCGGATGGTCCTAAGCTTCCGGCATGTCTTTGACATTTTCTTTGGGCTGATATGACCTGATGGGCATGTTTAGCTTTTGTCGCTTTGCGTCCTAACGGCTACCATGACGAGCGGCTAATTGTTGGCTAATGGGGCATTTCCCAAAGTCGGGGTACCCCGTGAGATACCCCTGTCATAGGGGCCGGTAATCCCAATTCTCGGAAACCCCAAGGACCTCTCTGTTTTCAATCCGGGCTCGGACTCCCGAAGCTGGAAGACCCGGTGATTGTACAGCGCTGTGGCACTGGCGACCGTTCCCAGCTCCAAGGTCGCAGTGGACAGCGGCAGGAAGAATGAACTTGCTACCTTCGAGACTTGGTCAATCTGAACATGGAGCACGGCGATCCCGTAGAGCACGACCCAGGCACCGAAGGTAAGGCATAACCAAGGGATTCCCCAGGAGAGCTGGTAGAACGCGCCTCCCGGCAATGGTCCAGGTGATGGAGGGACTGGAATGACTGAGGCAAGTGACAAGCTTGCAACCTCACCCCCGCCCACGCACCTCGCCAACCACGTCGCCAAACACATGTGACCACGTTAGCACCAGAGAGGATAATTGTCGAGGCCACACAGTAGCTGAAGGTGGAGAAGGTGCCAGACACCTGCTCAGTGAGAACTTCCGAGCCAAAACCATGAACTTACGGCAGTACCGTGCGCCGCAACAGATACAGCTGTCAACAGATTTCAGGATTCAGCCTGGGGAAGTCAGGGTTTCAAATCGCTGTGGTTTCACGATGTATCACTTTCAGAGGTCAAGGCACCAGGAACATCGCCAGGCACGGCACGAGGGTCGCAGCAATTCCTGGTCAGGGTGAAAGAGCTTTGCGCAGAGCTCTTGGAAAGAAAGTCTGCTGCGACTCGCTGTTTGGAGTGCTAGTCGATCCGCTAAATTGAAACAGAGGTTGCTCTGTCAGGCCATTCGGGGCAGATCCTTCCATGCCGGGCTTACGTACCTTCTACTTAGCCCCAATGCGTAATGCGTGTATGAACCTATCCCTATAGGAAAGAGGGCAGAGTACCGTAGACTCTCTTGGACGCGTGTTCCTGTAAAGATGCTTCCAAGTGAAGTGGAGTCCACGCAGCCCAGCCCAGTGCACCAGGCTTGAAGCAGTAGGCGCAAACAGCCACCATAAATGATAACATGGTTTAATGGCCGCCACCAAGCCTTGGGGCGGACCACCACCCATGAGAATGCTAACGTAAAGCAGCCTACCATGTGGGCTCACGGTCAACAAAAGTCGATGTCAGGCAAGGGGCGGTTCCGCTGTCTTCGGTGCGATGCTCGAATAAGACCATCCCCAGAAACAGCGGGAAGGAGATCATAGCCGTCATGGCCACTGACATCAGCGCCCGGAAAGGTGAGATGATGCCTCAAACGACAAGCGGACATGCTTCCGGGCTTTGCACCGTGCATTTTTTGTCTTCGTCAACCCCAACACACTGTGCCGAGGTACCAAAAGATCGCTTCTCATTTGGAAGTGGTTTCAAGCTGTGTTGGTGCTCCGCGGTGGGATTCAACAGGACCTCCCCGAGCACTTGGAATTGAATCCCATCCTGTGGGCACGGCCGAAACTGTCACAAGCCATTGCAGACACGCGAATCTACATTCGCCTCAAATGCAGATTGCTGGGAATACTGGAAAATGAATGTGACGCAGCAGTCTATGTAGCAGTATAGAACAACAGGGAGAATGGATTCGTTTTGAACCACTTCGTAATGACATGAAACTCGATTCGGTATGACACAACGCCAGGGGATTCCTCTAAGCTCTAAGCCGGCTCTGGGTTTTACCTAGGTTTCTTGTGCAATTGGAACCTCGTTCGGTGGCCCAGGGTTGCTGACGCTATCCGCGGGAACTGAAAGGTCGACTACGCAGTGGAGGATGTTTCTTTTGCCGTCTACGCACGCCATAAGCACAAACGTCTACCACTACCAGCAAGTGGGGTTCGATGAGTCGAGGCAGGAGGGACACCCCATCAAATAAGGCCTTCGTTTCTGCATGCCTGCGACCCAAATGTGCTCATTGCTTGTAATCTAATCTGCACTATGCAGGCTCGGGGCCAGTACAAGTCACATTTGATGTGCTGTTTGATTTATGAACTGTAGAAGATCTGATCTTTAGGTGGGCACATTCTTGGATTGCTACTTCCCATTCGCACAAAAACGCATTGAACAGGCAGGATTGTCCAGACCTGGCCATGCTGGTCACCAGCTAAGCCAGGGTTTAGAGCCGCCTCAGGCGTGTTCTTGTTCGAAACCTTGCAGGGTAACCTGCTACTAGAAAGCGCTTATTGCCGGCTCAGATTGTGGGAGACATGAACCCTGAACCCTGACGGAATTTTGGAAATGCCACCTCGTCGCAGATCATAACTCCATTGCTGCAGATCCTGACTGCCTCGCGCTCTGTCACATTGTGGATGCCTGGCCCGATCTGATACCAATGATGGGTGTGACCTGCTAGGGGAGGATTCCACTCCAAAACAGTGTCAATAAAGTCGGCCGACAACCTCGTATCCTCGTTGACGTTAATAATCATCACACGACCGCCGTTCTGCACTTGTTTCTCGACAACAGCTTTCACGGCGGCGTTGTCGTTCCGGCCAATGACGACCAGAACTCTCGCATCCTCTTCAAACATTGCGACGCGCCAAGTGCCAAGAGCATTAGCTAGCGATGGGCGGCGGCATGGCTTTCTAGCTGCGCCAGAGCCTCAAGGCACCGAATAGTGCGCATCCAAGATTGAAGAGCTTTATCAATTTGTCTGTTGCAAACGGAGTATGGGCTGCAGCTTTTGGACGAATACCGCCCCGAGTCCCATGATTCAGGGAAAGGCTTCTATTCGAAGCCCTTCCGCTGGCCTGCTGCTCCCATCGTGGTTTTGCGCACCAAACTGCACCGTACAGCAACCCCGGACCTTCTCATCCACGAGTTGGGGCAGGCCGATGCCGAAATGCACTGAATTTGTGCATGGTTGGAAGGAGCATGTGGGAAAAGTGACACTGAGGTTTGAAAAGGCCAAATGCCAGCATCTGTTTGTTTCTAACTTTCAAGGGTCCTACCCGGGAACCACAATGCTGCTGGGTCTTCGGAAGCCCTTAGTGCCTCAGGGACTAGAAGGGCCATACTGGGAGTACGTATATCAAGGGAACCCTTGCGGGGTAGACAACTTTCAGGGTAAATACGGTGCCTTGGATGACTTAACAAACTCGACAATGTTCAGTCGACTCTTGCAAGCTGCACACATGCCCAGCTCCTGCTCCTCAACCGATCCACCTGGATAATTGCGCGCCGTGAGATCATCAAACGGAGCCTCCAACACTTGCCCGCATTCTGATTAATTTGAGCCTTCTCCTCTCCAGAGCAATTGTTTCTCTGGAGAGGAATTAGGCGTCCCACAGTAAGTAAACGCTGATGGTACCCCTAGGCTCATCTAGGTTCTTCGTGTAGGCTGAAGCGGGCGTCCCTAGGCAGTGTCCCTAGGCCAGGGCCAGGCAAGCATTGTGCCCAGACCTGAAACCGGCTGGCATCCTAAAGGATTGGCGCTTCGTACAGGAATCAGCGGAGCGTGCGTCCGGTGCAAATAGTTAGGCAGCATCGGCGACGACCACATTCGTGGCTTTGCCAATCCCTAAAGCCACCAGCAAGCAATCCTGAATGGCTTCTTCTGGTCTCCTGGAAAAATACGATTTCCAGCCAGGACGTGGGGTTCCTCAGCTAGCAGCCACCGCTTGTCTCCAGAAGATACCAAACTCAGTCATGCGATCAGATATCTTCAGCTCGGTGCAGCGTCATGCGATCAGATATCTTCAGCTCGGTGCAGCGACCTACAGGTGGTGATGTTGTCCTTCTCCTTTGCTTGTGTTGCTTCCTTGTCTTGCCTTTTTCCTCTTTCTATGCTTCCTCTATTTTTTTTGGGAGGGGGGGGGGGGTGGAGTGCAGGTGGGGGGTGGAGGGCAGGTGGGGGGTGGAGGGCAGGTGGCAGGTGGAGGGGAGGTGGCGGGTGGAGGGCAGGTGGGGGGTGGGGGGGGGGTACTTCACAGAAAAACCTCGAGCTTCCCCCCCAAAAGACCTATGCTTTGATAGTTTTTTCGGTCACCACCTCCTTACGTAGAGATTAGCCGATTAGCCAGGCCTCCCCGCACGCCCCCCCTCCCCGCAGCTGGACAGGTTCTTGAACGAAATTACTGTGAAGCATTCTTGTTTGTTAAATGCCCAGTGAATCTCAAAGGTGTAGGGTATAAGGCACCCTTCCCCAAAGGCCCAGAAAGAGCATAGGTCTTAGGGCGGGGGGGCGGGGGGGGGTACCCTGCATATACATGTTTAACATGCTCCCATTGACTGGTTTTCCAAAGGATGTGCATGCCTTCTGGAGCAATGCCTTTTCCAAGCTCATTGTGCGAGCATTGTGTTTGCAAATGGGGACCTGCATCTGCTCTTTCGAGCCGTGCAAAACTTGTCTCCCGCTTTCTTTTCTTAAGACCGTGCAAAGCAACCACATCGTGCTCGAACACACATACGAATCCTTCAGTTATTCAAGCATTGTGTCTGCAAGTGAGTGCCGCCCCCGCCCCCACCATCATACGAGCCTTGCTCAATCTGAGCCTTCTCTGTTCAGAAAAGGACGAGACGTGTATTCACAGACGCGGGGGGCCGGGGGGAACGCCATGCGAACTTTTGTCAAAACTGCAAAAGCGCAGCGCACCTTTTCATTCACAGGGAAATCACAACACGACACACGCAACAAAACAACAAACATCAACATTGAGGATAATCGTATGTCAACCAAATTCTCAAAGATGCGGAATGTCCATTGACGGCCCGACAGTCTTGGAAGCAAGCTTGGCTGCACAGGACTGCAACGAAAAGGAAGAAGGAAGCAGAAAACAATAAACACAAGCCCTCTCAAAGGTCAACACACGTATTCTGTAGTTAACAGAAGCAAGCATCAACAATTGTCCGAAAGTTTCTGGACCAAGTGGCGCTGTCTTTCGCCTCATCGGGACGGGGCTGCAACGACCACCTTGCCCGAATCCTGTGTCGTCAAACACATCTCATTGGGCCGTCGGAATGTATGTCAAGAATGCTTGGCAGCGCGTTTTCGCTTAGGCTGGCTACGCCATGCATGATATCACATTTTCCTGCCAGAGGTAGGTGCATGACACTGCAGAATCAGAACTTCCAGACAACCGTGGCCATCAATCGTTGTGAGATGGCCCAGCTTCTTGCAGCTATCGTACCAATGACTGCCTGTATGTTCAAAATCGCTTGAGCCCTGCAACCTCCAAAGCAGCCTTCAAACGTTTTCCCTTTTCTGCACGGAACTGGTGCACAAAGGTGCACCCATTTCACCCCCTGCTCCTGGTCAACCAGCGCACCCGAGGGCTGGCAGGGGCAGACGAGTTTAAAGCACATTCAAGTGACGTCAGTGACGTCCGTGACATAGCAGAAAGTGCCAGGGATTCACACATGCTCATGCGCTGTCATACACAATGAGTGCAGACCCTTTCTGAGGTACGCAATGTGCCCGGGCCAAGTACTGACAATAGCTTGCAGAACCACTTCACGCTTGCTTCTCCGCTTGTCTGACTCAGCTGCGGCCAAAGCACTGCTCGCACGAGAATTCCAGAAGCCTGGCAACGAGCTGGGCATGGAAAGATGTGAGGAGCTTAGCGTGACAAACCAAGAGACAGCTTGATACCTGACGGAAAATTCAGCAACCACACCTTCATGCTCTACTGAGAAAAATTCAGACCCCTGGAGACCACTGCTCCACTGAGCTCCCCACGGCGCGTCCATCCTGCATCATAAGAATCATATGGCATATGGCTAACATGTCTATCAAGTCATTCCAGCGGACAGTGGCCACTGAATCACTAAACCTGTGGCACAACCGATGCACCAAGGCGACGGACCTTTCTGAGAGCCGGCTGGCGTGGAAGCGGTGTGATCTCACCCGTCCTGGGCAGGTCTGCATACCCCGTCAGCTTCCATCGTGCTTCTGGCGGCTCAGAAGCTGGGGATGTGTGCTTCCGTGGCATACCATGATACCGCCTGTGCATGAGCAACAAGCGGCCTCGATGGCGTCCTGGTTGGGCTTGTGGGGTGGACTTCATCATAACCTGTTGCGTGCGACAGAGGGCTGCTAGTGGTGGACTCGACACGCGAGTTCCCATGATGGTAGACAACTTGCACACCTCACAATGAAGCAGCCTTCCGCGTACTTCAACTTTGTTCGAAGTCGCAGTGCTTCTGCGAACGTCATGGTTTCGTGTACGGTCGTTCGTGACTGGCTTGTCCGGAACCTGCACGTTTCGTGGGGTCCATGGTTTGACCTGCCCTTCCTTTCCTGCCCCCAGAAACTGAAAAAACTCCCAACAGATTGCCACGCTTCTGGCAATGCTTGTTGGAAGGCTCAGATCACCAAGCTTTTGGTCAATGCTGCTTGATACGAATTGGGGAAGGTTGGCAGGAAAGCAAAAAAACCCTTCCCGCGATTGGAGGGCCGAATGCTTCGATTGACCCATCCTCATCAGCCCGAATCATCAGGAGAGGTCCGTTTTGGGACATCAATGAACCTGACCCTGCATCCTTGAGCTCCGATCCTGCTTATGCCTGACGAAGTTATTTCTTGTCCACTCTGGCCACGCTATCTTCGTTCTTGATTCGCGCCGCCGGCGTTTCTCACATGCGCGTGCCCCATTCCCGGCTTCACACCCTGCTGTTCCTGACTGGCCCTCCCCCTGCTCCCAGCACATGTCACCGACTCAACCGCCATAACATGGCCCCTAACCCAAGAGCAGAACCTCCAGGGTCCAAGGTCGAGTTTACTCATGGAAGGCCTGTCGAAGCTACAGCAGCGGCGAGTCATCTCCAACACGTGCGCTCCAAGCATTCCCCCGCTTCGCCCCGTGTCGTTCACGATTCGCTCCCGGCCGGCGCCCGACTCGGGCGGGCATCATTCCGTACACGCGCGTGCTCGACGCAAGCCCGTGCCACTAACATTCGGAGCCTGAGACCCCGAAGTGAAAACAGCTATTGAAATTTGCTGAATCCTCTGTGAAGCATACATATCACATATGCAATGGTGCTCTCACCCACCGCTGCCTTTGGAAGTGGAATCCAGCACTTAAAGGTTTCGGGATGAGGGGCCGAGCCACCAACTCTCGCGTTCGTGCCGACAGAAGACAACCCTGGTGAGAGCGACCCCAAACCCTTCTTGACCCTGCGAGCTCTGCCAGGTTCCACAGCTGTCCAAGCAGCCCTCATGAGCACTCGTGCAACCCTAAGCCCTAAACCCTATAAACCCTATAAACCCTACAAGCCCCATAAACCTTATAATCCCTAGAAACCCTAGAAACCTATAAACCCTATAAACCCTAGAAACCCTATAAACCCTAGAAACCCTAGAAACTCTGTAAACCCTATAAACCCTACAAACCCCCATAAACCCTATAAACCCTATAAACCCTATAAACCCTATAAACCCTAGAAACCCTAGAAACTCTGTAAACCCTATAAACCCTATAAGCCCTACAAACCTTATAAACCCTATAAACGCCAGAAACCTATCAACCCTATAAACCCTCTAAACCCTATCAACCCTCTAAACCCTCTAAACCCTCTAAACTCTATCAACCCTCTAAACCAACACGCTTGAAAGTCGCTTCTGTCTGCGAATTAAGAGAGCTCTTTCCGAACGCGGTGCCAAAGGAGCAGATGTCGAATTTACATCGAATGGTCAAGGGCCCGCCCTCCCACTTCCCAAAGGTTTTCGTGCGCTATGTTGAAGACGTCGACCCATGTAGACCCCGTTGCACGATCCTGAATTTGCGGCCGCCGGCAAATTCATATGGCCACCATGAAGGCTTTTGAAAACGACGACGGGTCTGCTGCAGCTACACACAAAGCCAGTTGCACGTCACACGCAAGCGCACACACACCTACCTGCTGAACAAAGTACAGGACTTCGTCTGCTGCCAATTTGCATTTCAAGGCTCTACCAGGAAGAACCCCTCTTCTCTCTAAGAATAATTCAACATACCCAAACCCATACCCCCCAAATGCCCTTAGTCTATAAAAGCAGATTATAAGGAAGGAATTTTACCACACCCCTTAATTTCTTTTAAGGATATGCCCAAGGGGTGTGTTGAGTATTTCTTAGATTCTCGGCACCCGAAGACACAAAAACTTCCCGGACTCTCAATCTGAACGAAAGAAACTGATTGAAAAAAGTGGTCCGACTTGGAATAAGCGTGGCCGGTGCTGCCGATGGGTCTCGTCCCACCGTCTGCCTTGCAGGACGCAAACTGTTGGGCTTAGGCCGGAAAACTCCTTCTCTTCGGGAAAGCTTGCACTGGGTCCCACGGTGTCGCCCTGCTACACCCTGCAGTACCTGGAACGTCCCAACGGCTAGATGGCAGAAGTTCGCAGACACGAAGCATCGTCAACATAGACAACAATAACTGTTACTGGTGCTGCTTCATGTAGTAGCAATGCTAATAAGAAAATAGTACTTCGACATATACTATTGTCATGAGTGTTTGTGAAAGATTGAAGACAGTAATGGCAACTATGAAACACGGAAAATTGACAGAGCGTGCAAAGTGAAAACAGCCAGACACTGAGACTTAGACAATCATTGCTATCTTAGAAGCCATTCATCAAGTGCGTTTCTGAGGCTGAACCAAAGCCCGGTGACATGTATGTGAGCCGGCATTTGGCTCAGGATGGATCCGTTCATTTCACGAAACTCAAGGAGAGGCCCCAACGCTGTTCTGGTGCCGGCTTTGAGAGTCCGATTATCGAGTGCGTGAGTACCCTGATTCTCAGAGACGCAGGCAGTCAGACAGTCGGACAGTCTGGGTGTCTGAGTATGCCAGCGCCCAATCTATAACCAGCAGAGCAATACGTAGACAACACATCAAGAAAAGCAGCCATATAAAGTAAGAACATACTGCAGTATGATAACGAAAAAAGATTAAACATGACAAGTATCAAACAACAACAATCACCCCCACCCTGAAGAGACTTACCCCAATCCTGTTTTGCACGTGTGCTCTCTGTGCCATCGCGTGTCCAAAGTGCGATTCGGCAAAACAAGGCATTCAAGACATTTACCCCGTCCTGGTGCCCAAAGTTTGAACCCCCAAAGACAAACATTTTGGCAAGATCCTGTTTGACATGTGTGAACCATCGACCGTTTGTGCTCAAAGTGCGAGCTCTCGCCCCAATGAGAGATTTACACCGGTCCTGTTTGACATGTGTGCTCTGCAGCGCTGCACGCGCTTCTGCTCAAACGAACTTCCTGCAAAAGAAGGGCAGTCTTGTTTGATCGTGGCCCGTCGCACAAGCACAAAGCGTGAGCTCTCGCCATTGGCGATCGCGTTTGACATGCAATTACGCTCAGAAGGGGCCGCTACACCACCCACCGCTCGAGGCCAAAACGCTGCCGTCGGGTCGTCACCGAAAAACGCTTCTCTAAAAAGAAGTGCATTTTAGGATTCAGGGGTCGCTAAATAGTCTTGAGTCTTTATAAGGTGTTTTTGTTGTTCAAGCCTGTTGCCGGCGAACCCCGCATATCTCGTCGGAAACTCGTATGCAAAGTCCGGAGCCATGCAACTTGCACTACGGCAAACCCGACAAAGACACACACACACACACACACATTCTCTGCAGGATTCTGGGCGTGAACAACCCAGGGATACTCGGCCGGGGGTGGGCAGCATGTTAAAACGCGAAATGGCATAGCAATGAAGATGAAATCTTGGAGGGCGCCAGGCATTGCCTGAAAGCTGGAGCGGACGACCGGCAGTTCCAAACATAGAAAAGTGGAGTTCATCAACTTCGGAGCTACACTCAACCTCTCACAGCCCGCGGAAGACATTATCTTTCCAGATGCGTCTGTGCGGGCTTCCTAGAGCTGCTGGCAGCTGAAGTTGTGGCACGATCCTTGCCTGAATGAGCAGCTTCTTCAGAGCGAAGCGACGTAGGAGTGACCAAAACCCTCCGTTCAGACCTTTACAATTACTTACAACCCTGCCGTTCCGGCCTGGTTGGGAGGAAGAGTAGAATCGCTGGCGCAGCAAAACCTTGCTCAGCAAGGTTTGTGAGCAGGGCTAGACAAGGAATTCTTGCGCTTCTCGTTTACACTGCTCGCGTCATCGCAACAAAGAACGTGAAAGCTCACGCTGGCTCTTGCTGAGTTCGCCGCAATAGCCAAAGGCGACGCAAGGACAAACCTGGCGAACACAGTGCACCCGAACTTAGGTGGTCTAACGGCACGAGCACCAGACTTGAGGGCCAGGCCTGGTGGTGCTGGCTCCACTTCCCCCGGCCTTGCTGCATGTGCTCTGCCAGAGCTATCTTCGGATGCGATGAATACCTCCTCGGATGCAATGCGAAGGCTCGGCAAACTCTGCCTGTTCGCCTCTTGCACCAGCTTGCGCTGTCGCAACACGGCTCCCACACCATCAAAGAAGCCCACAGAGCTGCCAGCTAAACTATCAGATGTTTCTTCAACTGCTATGGGCGAAGACTGTACCGTGGCGGTGCTTGATTGGACTGGTAAGGAAGTTGGCAAGCCGAGTCGCTCGGCGAGAACTGGGGCCTGCCAGCACTTGAGGCAAAGGACTGGTCCCTACCCTATGTGATTGTCCTTGGGAAGGTGGCTCATTTGCTCTTTTGCTCCAGGAGAGTGAATGGCTCGACTTACGCAGCTTGCGTGCATATGTGTGTGTGTGTGTGTGTCAGCTTGACTCGTTGCTCGGCCGTGCGTCAGCATGAGCTGCCCACGCTGGAAGCATTCTCTTTGTGCAAGTACGCTGGACGTTTGCCGGTCATTGACAATTAGCGGCAGTCTTGGCAGCAGTGAAGCCCAGGTGCTTGTGACCAATGCTCCCGCACCTGTTCTCGTGGCCTGTGGCAAGGCAAAGGCGACTCGAATCAAACTGCCACCGTCCCAACGACTTCGACAGTAGCCCCTGGCCAAAACAGCACAGGCCTCGAAACATCACTAGACTGATGTTACTGGGAAATCTGCATATTCTTGCCTGCAGAGGCAGCTGGAGCTTGCCGTCTGCTTTGACGGGCGCCGTGAGGGCCTGGGTCCACGGTGAAACAACAGGACTGTCTACACTGTCCATGCTGTCTACACTCACTCTACACTCTCTTTTTGCGCTTGCCAACCTGCACCCGTACGCAAGGCGTCTGATCGGCAAATTGCGCAGGCGAAATCATGTGCAGATTCGCCCCAACTGTAAGATGTTGCACATGAGATGTCGAGACTTCAGCCCCACAACTTCAGCAAGAACTGGTGGGTGGGGTGGCACGTCTTTCAGTAGCAACAAACCTGAGAGACGATTTTGGGCACCTCTCCGCGGCAGGCATCTTCATGGCGGTTGTATACCAGATTCGGTTCCGGTCCACTTGGCACAAACCCTTGGCCCTAGGAGGCAGCCCTCAACAATCCTCACCGGTGTGCGAGAAGAACGACGTCGGTGCCCTTCATTTCTCTCGCTTTGGCCTCTGTCTAGAACTTGATGACTACCTCTCTCCACCCCCTCCACGATGTTCGATAGCTACTTTCCCAGCTACCCACCAGTCTCGTCCAGGCTGCTTGCCCGATTGCAACCATGCGCTGGCGGCTGCAGTAGTAGTACAAGACAACCCCAAGCAAAGCTGCCGCTGCCAGGGCCCCCAGAATTGCAAACCTCAGCAAGCGGCAGAGAGAAGTTTTGCTTCCAAATCCCGCTTTCCTGTGTGCAGCCGGAGTCGCACAGGTGATGGACCTGGGTGTTCAAGTGCCCAGAGAGCTGTGGCCTCGAAAGGCGCCCCCGCCCCCCCCCCCCCCCGCATAACTAAAACGTGTTTTTGCAATGTCGACATTCACTTGAAAGGAGGTTGACAGTATTTGTGTTTTCTGTGATCGTGTCGCGTGCTTCAATGGCTGGAGGCCGCCAGCTAAAGTGATTCTGTTTATCTGGCAGCTCGGGAACAAGCTGGAGCGCTATGAAACTTGAGGCTAGGTGGGCGCCACTGGGAAAACGAACCAGACATGACTCACAAGGCTTGGGTGTGTGCATTGTACATGTTCATGCAATTGAAGATATTCTTTGAAAACTGGACATCATGTGCACGCCGTCTGAAGTGGATGGCACTGGCAACCGCCAAGGAATCTGCGGCCCGACCTTCCTACATACTTCCAACTCAAAACCCTGGTGGCAGTGGGGGTGCGGCTTCATCGCTCTGGTAGACATCCTGAGCTTCGAGCCAAGGCAGTCTCATGCAATCTGGAGCCGAGAGAACTGCAACCGGCACGTCCTTGGACCTCCATTCACTCAAGAACCCAAAAGCCCCAGGTCGATGTCTGGGTCTGACATACTTGGCCCTTAGGCCCTAAGGGCGAAGCAAGGCCTCAAATGCCTTCCACCTTATTCGGCATGCCTCGCAAGGTCGGAAGAGTAAGAGTGTCATGGGCTACCTCTTGCCTGACCGAACCCTTAATTGCAACCATGCAGCCAGTCGCCGGATGCTCCAGAAAGTCTCACCTCGACACAAGTCGAGCATAAAGACGTGGCGGCACCAGCCGTCCAGGACCAAGTGCGATCAAAGTTGCTGAACGCGTTTGGCCTCGTGCGCACATACTCCTCGCAGGACATCTGAACTCCAGGACAGCTTGACTGGAACGTGCCCCCTGCATAGTCACCTTAGCTTGACAGCTTGGTGATAAAACGTTGCTGCCTCATGCCTTTCACAAGACTTGGACAGCACCTGCATATACCTGCATGGCACTGCTGTACTCTGGCTATGCTCTCTCAGGCAGGGTGCCGCAGAACGTAACATCGAACACCTCGGATAGGAGCCATTGCAGCCTGTTGGGCTTATTACCGGGCACAGGCGTGGCCAAGCTTTCGCGCCGCCACCCTTGCAGAGACTGGGTCGTGGCATGTCGCGGCCGTCTTTACAGAAGTAATTTGCAGATTCTGAACGGAAAGCTCGAGGCAGAAACCTACCTACACATGGGCGGGCCCTCAGGAACGCCAAGAGGCCATCCTCATGTTGTGGAAATGTCCGGATGAGCACCTCTTGCTGAGGCACACGCATGCTGCTTTGCGAATGGCTGAAAGATCCAAAAGCCTGAGGGGTTTGTCAGCTGAGTGCGTGGCCACTTCTCGTTCAGCGTGAAGAAGGAGTTCGGCATGCCAAAAACATCCGGGTCGAGAGTGTCACGGCTCTCAACGGTGAGCTCATTATACTCCTGTTGTGCTGACGTTGAAGGTTTAAGGGAACCAGCTGAGTCGGGCTACCCGGTGCTGACCAGGTATTTCTCCTTGCTGGTCTTCGGGAAGAACCAAGTCCGAAGGCGCTTGTTCACCTGAGAGCTCCCACGTGACGTGATATCACGTGTGCCTTGCGCTTCAACATGCTCCTTCAGCTGTAGCAACTGAGGAGGTCCACCCACTACTCCCGGGAATCCCACCAGAACTGACCATACACCCAAGGCCCAAACCTCTCTCAGTGCTCGGTTAGTACTCAATCATCAGCTGATCTTTGCAGGCAGTACTGATTCCCAGGGCATGGGCGTCAGGGGAAGGCAGCCACATCTGTTAGAGACTGACCCACTTCTCCGGCTTTGCAACAGACGAGAGATGAGAGTCTAATGTCACATAGTAATCCCCTACCCTCTGATATGAAATACCCCCCCTCCCCATATACTCTAATATAACTATAAGAGGGTTATTTGATATCAGGGGTGGGGGGGTTTAATTAGGGGCGGGGATTAATAAGAGGGCAAAGGAAATTGCTGCTGCAGCTGTCAATGCAAAAAAACGGAAGTGGATTCTGCTCCACGCACCAATACAGTTGCGCGCCATCGCTCCAGGCCCTGTCATGCATGTGTGGGGACAAATCTGCCACCCACAGACCTCCTTGACTCAACACGCTGCAGAGAAGCCCAGCAAACCTGATCACCATCATCACCTGTTTCATGCACATAGTACCCCAAATAATCCACTGCGTGTCATTCCATGCAGTGGGCCAAATTCGTGTTCACTCGGCTTGAGTCCACCATGCATTCATCCAGGTTGAAGTAGTCACGCGTCCACATGCAGGCTCCCCAATTTGTGTTCGTCCATGCCTTCGTCCAGCTTGAAATCAGCCATGTGTCCACGTGCTACATGCAAGCCCTCCAGGCGAGAAAATGACGAAACCCTCCCTGCCGATGTGCTAGGGCAGACTCGTAGGCCTGTTGGAGCTCTTCCATATCTTGATACTTGAAACCCCACTTGCATGCAGCTTTCGCTGTCTCACACCTACTCTGCTTGTATTCTGCTCGCTTGAGGTGCTTTCTTTGTTGCAGGCCGCGCACGCGCGCACGTGAGTAAAAGAGAAGGGAGGATGGGACGGATGGGAGGCTCGCACGGCACTTTCAAGGTAGATGGGGTGGAGCGGTCACAGGTCTCGGCACTGAAACGGAGGTGCCTTGAGCCCGGCCATCGGCGTGTCCGTGCAACGGCTCTCCAAAGCCAAGAGCCTGACCAGAAGGAAGACCACCTACCCTCCTGTCTCCACGCAGTCAAGCTGCCACCGGATCCCATTCCGCAACGAAGATGCCACCTGCAGGTACAGCTTGGATTTCCCTCAGCTTTGGAGCGAAAGAAAAAACCAAGGCGCCTCCTTGGCTGTTGAACTTCGGACCAGCAGATCCATCCTGGAGTTTCTGCCCACAGCCCTGGTTGTCGTACTCGGCATCCGCATGGACCTTAGATTCTTGGATCCGTGAGCATTGCCAGTCGTCCGAATCATCCGCGGAATCCGCCATCAGCGAACTATCAGTGAATGTCATGGTCTTGTGAGTTCACAGTTGAGATCTGTTGAGTTGTGTGCAAGCGGCAAAGCAGTTCTTGGCCTTGTTGCTTTCAGTGCCGACGGCCCAGCCCTGGCCTTCAAAGTCGATGCCTTCATTCACGGCTCGCCTCAAAATGTGAAGATGTGTGAAGTAAGTCACGTTTAAAGACCTTCTCACTGACTCAGACATGTGTCAAGGGGGTGCAACATGCACCACACCAGGGAAGCCAGGTTCGACCGTTCGACCCAGGACCTACAACGCCGCGCTCAGCTGCAGCCAGGCACTGATCGCAGTCCTTCCGTGTGTGCAGAGTTGTAGTTGCCTGGGCACAGTTGAGGTGTCGACATTTGGCGATTTGGCTATTCCTCAGCACAAAAAGCATGCACGCACGTACACACACACACACACACACACACTCTCTCTCTCTCTCACACACTCTCTCACACACACACTCTCACACACACTCTCTCACACACACACTCTCACACACACACTCTCACACACACACACACACTCTCTCACACACACACACACACTCTCTCACACACACACACACTCTCACACTCTCACACTCTCACACTCTCACACTCTCGCTCTCTCCACTCTCACGCACCCACGCTCCCACGCACCCACACACACCCGCGCAGACGCACAGAGCCGGTCCAAGATGCATAGTTTTGCATGTGGATGGTCTCCCAAATGTCGAACTCACCCCAGCGGGGCCAATGATGCTGCGCATCATCCTTCAGACGAGCGTGCTCGCTTCAAGCAGCAGATTAGGATCTTCCTTCAATCAAGCACTGCACCTCCCCTCGTCCACGCTGCACCTCTGCACCCCAATAAGTTACAGTTACTGTGATAGAATGTGGTGGGGCAATGTGGGGCATTGATATGGGTATGGGCACGGGACGTGAGGGACCTCTAAATAAAAGCTGTGCAGCACATGCGGTGGTGTGCCCAGGATGGGGTATAGTACACAAGTACGATCAAGAAACACTCACATTGTCTTGCTTGGCCCTGTTCGGCTTCTAAGTGTACACAGCGGACAGACTCAACACCATGTCCCATTAAAGCATTGCTTCTTCCTTCGGCGTTTGCCAAATACTCGGAAGACGATGCGGCTCCTCCCCCGAACAATGCTTCCAAGCAGCTCCGAACATCCAAAAAGCCGGCCAAGAGCCACAGCCAGTCGGGACATGATCCATCTCTATCACAAACAGGCCGCCGTTGTATCCTTTCATGTGGGAAGCCCAACCCAGAAGTCCAAAAGCCCGGCAAAAGCACGAGGCGCCAAGCAAAGGCATGCCGAGGCGCTTTGCTTCGACTCAATCCTCAAGGCCTTCCGGCCTTGGCCCTCTGGCAGCACCGTCGTGTTGTCGCTTCGGATGAGAACGTGTGACTCGGCGGCTGGGGTGAGACCAGTATAGTTATCGCAACTTCACTGGCCATAAACCTCTAAAACCAATCTGGTAGCGATTTCAGAGGCCAACGGCAGCATCAGAAGGGGAGACGCAGAGAAAGACAGAGACAGACACGCACAGAGAGATACAGACATGGTGAGACAGCTGCTCTTTTCGTCATTCCAGCCCTGGACCGAATAGGTGCACTAGATCCCGGAGCATGAACTGCAAACAGAAAACACAAGGGCGCACTTTGGTTTCCCCATGCGAGGTTTTTGGCACTAGATACTCGGCGCTGTCTCTGAATCTGGGCAACTGAGCGCGACTGCACTGTGAGCCCGTGGACTGAGGAACCGATTCCTCCACCCAAACCCACTTGTCCCTGCTTGCTTGTGTTATCACTCCCACATGTGGGGGTGCCGGGTCTTTTCTGTACATGAGCCTGCGTGTTGCAACAGGTTCCCCAAAAGGGAACGATCGCACCAATCCTCTCACAGAGCGGAAGCCTAACAGCCCTTCCTCCGGTTTGGGTTGCCTCGCCACTGGGCAGGCCCCGGCCGAGGCGGGTCGCGTAGCGCTAAACAAAGAAGCCTGCTTGGAGAAAAACATGCATGGTTGTCTCTCTGTTCGCCGCAAAGAGAGCATGAGAGCATAGTTGGGAGCACGCCCCACACAAAGCACAAAGATGCACAAGGCATGGACTCTAACAGGCCCAAGCAGCACCAGAGCTGGAGAGGAGTTTCTCGTTCCAGGCTGTGGCTTCGTCAATGAACTCCACCTCAAAATCTTCATTCTTGTGAGAGCACCAATCACGCTTGTATTACGAGGAGGCAGACCCGAGGCCCCCACGGTGCCGTGGGTCGGGTCGGCACCCGTATAGAAATTGAAGTTGCTAAAGAAATCCCGACCCATCAGCGACTGCATCTTTTTGTACCTGGAGACATGGGAAAGAAGGAGAGCCATGGAGCTGCGAGCGTATGGCCAGCACACACTCAGGTCCGAGTCCCCAGCGAGAGCAAGGTTCCCCGCGCCGACCGCCAGCATGTCGCAAGCGTGATGGCGACTGCAGGGCGTGATGAGGGGTTTCGGGCGCAGCGTAGCGCAGCGTCGCGCAGCGTGATGTAGCGTGAAAGCTACTTGGAAGCGCTTGAGGGTTGAACCGTTCCGAACCTGAATTTGAATCTAGAAGTGACGTCATTCCTCATCAGCCCACGGTATACAAGTAGTAGCAGTAGTAGCAGCAGCTGCAGCAGTAGCAGTAGCAGTAGCAGCAGCAGCAGCAGCAGTAGCAGTAGCAGTAGCAGTAGCAGTAGCAGTAGCAGTAGCAGTAGCAGTAGCAGTAGTAGTAGTAGTAGTAGTAGTAGTAGTAGTAGTAGTAGTAGTAGTAGTAGTAGTAGTAGTAGTAGTAGTAGTAGTAGTAGTAGTACTCCTACTACTACTACTCCTACTACTACTACTACTACTACTACTACTACTACTACTACTACTACTACTACTACTACTACTACTACTACTACTACCACTACTACTACTGCTGCTGCTGCTGCTACTACTACTACGACTACTACGACTAGTAGTAGTAGTAGTTTGTAGGAGTTGTTGTAGTTGTCGTAGTAGTAGCAGTAGTAGTAGTACTACTACTAGCAGCAGCAGCAGCAGCAGCAGCAGCAGTAGTAGTAGTAGTAGTAGTAGTAGTAGGAGTAGTAGTAGTAGTAGTAGTAGTAGTAGTAGTAGTAGGAGTAGTAGTAGTTTGTAGGAGTTGTTGTAGTTGTCATAGTCGTAGTCGTAGTCGTAGTCATAGTCGTAGTCGTAGTCGTTGTCGTCGTAGTAGAAAGTAGTAGTAGTAGTAGTAGTAGTAGTAGTAGTAGTAGTAGTAGTAGTAGTAGTAGTAGTAGTAGTAGTAGTAGCAGTAGTAGTAGTAGTAGTAGTAGTAGTCGTAGTAGTAATAGTAGTAGTAGGAGTAGTAGTAGTAGTAGTAGTTTCTAGGAGTTGTTGTAGTTGTCGTACTCGTAGTCGTAGTAGTGCCTGCCAGTAGTGCCTGGAGTTCGCACTGCAAAGCTTGGTGCCTGCCAGCATTGATCTTGAAGCGCAATGCATCCCTCCGTTGCACTTAATTTGGACTTTGCCAAATTATGAGCCTAAACTTCGGCTAATGGCTCATGCGTGGCAAGGCCTCATGTCGGAGAAGAAACTTCTTGTTCCAGGTAGGTTTGTGGCCGAGTGTTGCGTGTCCCTGTCCGCCGATTGCAACGACTGCTACATCACATCGGGACAGCAACTTCGCAGCAACCTGGAACTTTTCGCCTTGGCAGAAAGCTCTCATCGTCTGACGCAGGCATTGCAAAGCACCTTGTGGCAGTTGACGGCAGCTGTCCAAAGGCAGCACATACTATTGCCGATAGAACAGCGGCGGCAGCGGGCTGACCAAAACAAACCGCTGCTAAGACTTGGAGTCGCAACATCCGACACACCAGCCCACTGCGCGAAATGCTGCAGGATGAAACATACTGTACCAACTTTGCTTGCCAAGTTGTATCAGGCATCACACGACAACTTCCAAATACCAGCGACAACGAAGCAGGCAGCAACCCAACCACCAACAAGAAGTGAAACTTCGTCTGCGCCATCTAGTGCCTAGTGCTATTATTAAAAGCATGTTCACTCTCTCTTCTAGAGAGCTTCGCTCGTGGGGCGAGCGGCGAGTGTAAGAGTGTGTACAACTCTGTGCCGTAGCGAAGGGGTAAGACCATGACCCACTGCTGAGATCAATGCCCTTCTACGCGCCACACAGCACAGATGAGCTCAAATAGCTCAGGCTCTTAATACACCGGCGGTAGTTGTCTTGCTTTATTGGCTTGCTGCATTGCTAGGAGCTGTTGTTGGCTCCCCTAACACATCTTACATTCATACATTCACGTGCGCGTTTGAACACTGCGCAAAGCGGCAAGATAGCACGTGCAGGAGCACGCGAAGTTGTACTTTGGCACATGCACCTGAATTCTTGAGGTATCTGGCTGCGAGCGGCGGTCGAGGTCGTCATCTTTGGCGACTGCGCTGGCTCTTGATCCGCCTTGAGGGACAAATGTCCTCTCACGGTGACCTCGCCTGCCTTGGATGCCCGGGGTAACATCAAGTCATGGTGACGGATACAGCATCGCCGCAGAAAGGCCGCCAAAAACTTTTCGAGCCAGCCCTGCTCTAGCGCCACTGGCTCAAACCGATATGCTATTCACTTGTCAGGACCGCTCTTGGAATTTCAGCTCTGCAGAGCAAGACGGGCCAGAGGGCCAGAGTTCCACCCGAGCTGCAAAAGAAAAAAGAAAACAAAAAAAAGTGCACCGACTTATTGAGTCATGGCACGGTGGTGCGGCCTGCAAGTAGTGGAGCGTCGGGGGTAGAGACGGGTTCGAGCCCAGGGCCTGCAAAGTCAAGTCAAAGGCACCTCTTGTGCAACAGCAGGGGTGCTGAACATCGGTAGAACATCCTGCCTGCCCAGGGTACGACACGCGGGAATGCACGGAGCCCTGGACAGGGGGACTGCTCCAAACCCCCCCCCCCCCCCCCCCCAAACTTTGAGCCCCCCCAACTTTGACGTGAACCTCGAAGGAAGCTAGGCTGCAAAACGCTATATAAGGGTCTACTTGCAATCCTGCTGCTGCAGCTGCGCCCATAGCGACCGATCGGCTAAGCTGATCAGCGGCAAGGCTGACACGTGCAGAGCCTACACTTCGGGAGATCCCAGCCTGGTGGCTGATCGGCCTTGGGACGGGCGAGGCAAATCAACGGCCTACTGGCAGCTACCGTATTGGACTGCTACATTACATTCTCTTTGTACTTCTATTTGCTGCATGTTGCTTCAAGTACTTTCGTTGAGGAACCTTGAGGACTCTTTGAGGATGCTCAACGCACAATGGCGCTGCCGGGTTTCAAGCTCAGATTCAACGCTCACGGTCAGACATGGGGGGGGGTTAGTCCAAGGGTCTGAAGCCCTACCGGCCAGCGACTCGCTGGAAAACAAGCATAGTTCACTGTGCATTTAGAAGGGCGTCCTGTTCTGTTGACAAGCCACTCCACCGACAGAATACTTTACATTGGATATGGACAGAACCATGAAATCCTAAATGCCTTGTAGACACTGTAGACATCTGTGGACGCGTCAGTTGGGCACAAGAAGCGCAACCCTGTTTACACTGTAACAACCCGGGCCAACGTCACGGGTGGGAAAACCGAAACCTCCTAATTAGCCGCAATAGTTCTCCAGCAATGATTGCCGATCTTTACCCTTGAGTAAGAAACCCCTTGTTTTGAAGGGCTACGTGCTGGCATTGTGGCTACAACTGCCTTCTGCACCTAAACCATCACCGCAAAACTCCTGAGCCAATCGAAGCCAGGCGGCAGCGAACTCGAGTTCGATCGGCTTGCAGATGGCTGCGGCGGCACCGGCAGCGGATCCCGACTATGTCCGCTGCCAATCCTTTGCTTCAAAATACCGCAGAGGAGGCTCCCTTGTAGGCTTACTCTAGCAGCTCTCGCAGAAGATGTAGGCTTCGAGTCTCCACCAATATTGCTCGACAATACTACACAGAATGTTAAGACGCCATTCTTTCGGCATATGTTCATTGCACCTGCGAGGCCCCGCTGGCCTTCGCTTCTTCCCCTCCAATGACTGCAAAGCTAAACCCCACTGGGTCTTGTTTGCTAACCAGGGAAGCAGTGCGAAACAAGTTCGCACACGCCAGGGTGTCAAAAAGTTTTGGAAAAACAGACACACACACACACACACCTCCCTTCTGGCTCCAGGTCTATTTGCAAGTGGACTAGGCCCCGAGCGAGCGGCTGTAGTAGACCGGTCCTTGGCTGCGCTCCAAGCTTGGGGGCAGCTATGCCAAACTCATGCCACAATTTGTTCACTTTCGCCTGTCTGCGGCAAGCTTCTCTCCACGGTCCTTAGAGTTGCTTGCTGCAACCGGAGCTGTGACCCATGCACATGCACGTGGCATTGCCTGGAGCGCCGCCCAACTTCGTGCAAGAAGCTGCTGCAAGCGCATGGAATTTGTTCGGCTGCTCGGGGAAGTGGCCACGCGCTGAAAACTGCTACCTCCAGGCGTGAAGACTGAGGTATGGAACTGCCTTCAGGAATTCAATGCGGGCTTTGGGACATGAATTCGCTGTACATTCAGAACTCTTAAGGTCCCAGCCCCTTGCCTGTCGGGACCCTGCCCACAAAGCCGCCACCGACAGCAGCCTCGTGGCAGCTCCGCCCTATACCCTTCTGCAATGATAGGAAGCGGCACCAGCCATCACAAGACATGAGTCGGTAGTCGGTAGTCATCAGCTCTGGGGCCAAAGGCGGTCTGTGCTTTTGGCGATGAGGGCATGGAGGGCGCGTGGACAACGTGAGTGACGGACTTCACAGCGGTCATCCTTGGCGAAGCTGCAGGGCAGGGTGGTCGCCCATGTTGCTGCACTACTTCTGAAGCCTGCAGTCCAAGGACCGGCTGTTTCCGCTGGACAAGTGTCTGGCGCACCAGCTCGCTACGAATGAAGACTAGTTTTTGAACTGGCATTTGCCAAATATGCTACTAACTTGCAAAATTGTCAAGTGCGGTCTTGCACCACGGCACTGGACATTGTGGAGAGGAAAACTGGCAAATCGTAACAACATGAAATGGCGTGGCACCATCGGGCCTTTTTACAACGAAGACTTAACAGGTGCCACTTAAAGGGATCCTTAAAGCCCCAGCATATATGGAAATCCTTAAACCCGCCTCATTAACCCCCCCCCCACCCATAATCCCCTGATACCCCCCTTAGACATGTCTAGTTTTGTGCAACTGAGGCTGCAGCATCCTCTGGGGCAGGCTCGGGGCTTGGCTCACACCTCTGCAGCACTTCTTGTACTGACACTGTACTGCATGTCCGAACTCGTATCACATTAACCAATATTAACCAGCTTCAATTGGTAATCACGAAAGTTTGAATTACAAGGCTGCAATTGTGGCTGGGAAGCTGTGGAGCTCACCTACATCCCTGAGCCCTGCTCAATAGCCCGAGGGGCTGCGCTCGTCCATGCCAAATTCCAGATTTCGCGCTCGGCTCGCTTCTGGCCAGGGAAAGGTGTAGAGTGTAGAGTTAGACACCCACGGCCTACTGGACAGCAAGCGATGTCTCAAGAACAGCTGGCAAACGTGCTGATCAGATTCTGTGTGCAGCGACAGCACCGCTTAAAACAACATCGGCTTGAGAAAATGCAGGGCTCGCCCACCCGAAAGTGCGAGAAAACACACATGTTGTTTCAGGGGCGTCGGGTTGTAGGGGATTGAGACCAGCTTGGGCTTGAAAACTTGTGATCTGCAGTCGCTGAGCTAGGACATCCAGGGTTCCTTGAGTTGAGGGGACCTGTCACCTCGGGGTTTTGGCAGTAAACCCTGCCACACCCAAAGCCAGGACTTTGGGGCCACGGCCCAACACTAACTGAAGAAGATGAAACCCTCATTTTCTCAAAAATGTGGGGGGGGGACGAAGTTAAGACATTTCTGAATGCCTAGTGGGCTTAGCCAAGCCCTCCCAGACTTGCCCAAAGCCTCCACGAACTAAATATAAATAAAGGCATCCAACCATTGAGTGTCCCAAATTAGTTGTTGGCTTGGGCCCTCTCAGCTTTCGCGCAAGTCAGATGAGGGCCCGGTGCTTGGGGTGGATCTTTCGCGTTTAGGTTGCGGCCCGAACTCCCAGGAGGCCTCTCTGCCCAAAAGAAAGTTCAGATACAATAAGCTCATCCATCTACAGTTCCGACAGAAATCCTGGGACCTTTTGCAGAGGGTCCACATCAGCTTCGACTCTTCAGGGGGGCCGGGGCGGGAGGGGCTTTGACTCGTAGCACTCCCCACACTCCCATCACCCAAGGGTCCCAATGCATCCAAGGGGCGAGGCGTCAAGGATCCGTCCCCATCTTCGCGGTGGGGCTTCCCTGCGTCCACTTTCTTGGGGGACTCCTCCTGCCGGCGTGCGGGACAGTGCTGGGATCATAGGCGGAAGTAATTCGCCTGAATTAAACGTGCAAACTGGGCCCAGAAGGCCCCCCATCAGTCACTAGAACCCCGCAACTAAGGAATTGCCTCTCTGATTCGGCAACAGTCATCGAGAGGCAGGCCGCTACAACAAGAGGCATCTGAGATCCCAGGTAACGTGAAAATAACCTACTTAGCACAAAAGCAGCTAAGAGAGGGTAGGGGGAGCAGGGGTCGGGAAGGTTCGAAGCCTCAAAGCCTCAAAGCCTCTCAGCTGGTCTGAAGCTTCAAAGCCTCAAAGCCTCAAAGCTTCTCAAACGTTGTCGCTGAGACGCTTGAGACGCTTGAGACGCCTGAGACGCTTGAGCGCTACGCTTGCAGCCAGAAAGCATGAAAGCCTGAAAGTCTGACAGCCTCGCAGCGTCTGAGACGCTTGAGACGCTTTTAGCTCTTGCGTCGCTTGAGGCGCTTGAGACGCTTGAGACGCGTGAGGCGCTTGAGACGCTTGAGGCGCTTGAGACGCTTGAGGCGCTTGAGAAGCTTGAGGCGCTTGAGACGCTTGAGACGCTTGAGACGCTTGAGACGCTTGAGGCGCTTGAAACGCTTGAGGCGCTTGAGACGCTCGAGACGCTTGAGGCGCTTGAGGCAGTGGAGACGCTTTGGGATGCTTGAAACGCTTGAGGCGCTTGAGACGCTGGAGATGCTTGAGGCGCTGTAGACGCGTCGGGCTTGATGCGCTGGAGTCGCTGGAGGCGTTTGGGTACGCTTGAGGTGCTTGCGACGGTACTCGAGACGCTTGTGCTGCGCGTGAAACGATGGAGATTGATCAACGCCAATCCGTTTGTTAAGCATTGACCAGAATTCTCGCAAATGTCCGTAGTTCAAGTTCTGTTTTCTTGCGCACGGAGGGCTCACAGCCTGCGTCACAGAGCTGCTGTTGCTCAGACGCCGGTTCCTTTCAAGTCTTCGAAGCTCAACACAAAGATACATCGTTCGAGCGCTTTGAGGACTGCCAGCGACATGACAAAAAGAAAAGGCCAAAGAAGGGCGGGGATTGAGATTGAGCTCAGGCAGTCTTGATCTGAACCATAGGGACTTGATTTAGGGTTCAAGATTCAGGGCTGCTTGGGGTCTTTTGAGCGACGCTCAACCCTAAATTTCAAGATGAAGCACTCATTTCCGAAACTTGCGGTGTTGAATGAATAAGCAGGAGTGTATCTGGCGCGCATGTTTTATAGTGTACAGGTAGACTTGGAAGCATGCTTTTGCCGATTGGGGTCCTTTGATGGACCCTAAACCCTAAATTTCAAGATGAAGCACTCATTTCCGAAACCTGCGGTGTTGAATGAATAAACATGAGCGTATCTGGCGCGCATGTTTTGTATAGTGTACAGGTACACTTGGAAGCATGGTTTTGCCGCTTGGGGTCTTTTGAGCGACCCTAAACCCTATATAAATTTCAAGATGAAGCACTCATTTCAGAAACTTGCGGTGTTGAGTGAATGAAACATGCTTGCATGTGGCGCTCATGTTTTGTATAGTGTACAGGTACACTTAGAAGCATGTTTTTTGCCGCTTGGGGTCTTTTGAGCGACGCTCAACCCTAAATTTCAAGATGAAGCACTCATTTCCGAAACTTGCGGTATTGAATGAATAAACATGAGTGTATCTGGCGCGCCTGTTTTGTATGGTGTACAGGTACAATTGGGAGCATGTTTTTGACGTTTGGGGTCTTTTGAGCGACCTTAAACCTTAAATTTCAAGATGAAGCACTCATTTCCGAAACTTGCGGTGCTGAGTGAATGAAACATGCTTGTATGTGGCGCTCATGTTTTGTATAGTGTACAGGTACACTTAGAAGCATGTTTTTGCTGCTTGGGGTCTTTTGAGCGACGCTCAACCCTAAATTTCAAGATGAAGCACTCATTTCCGAAACTTGCGGTGTTGAATGAATAAACATGATGAGTGTATCTGGCGCGCATGTTTTGTATGGTGTACAGGTACACTTGGAAGCATGTTTTTGCCGCTAGGGGTCCTTTGAGCGACCCTAAACCCTAAATTTCAAGATGAAGCACTCATTTCCGAAACTTGCGGTGTTGAGTAAGAGCAATAAGTTGAGATGCTCGAGACGTTTGAGGCGCTTGAGACGCTTGAAATGCTTGAGGCGCTTGAGGCGCTTGAGACGCTTGAGACGCCTGAGACGCTTGAGACGCTGGCGCTTGAAACGCTTGAGGCGCTTGAGACGCTTGAGGCGCTTGAGACGCTTGAGACGCCTGAGGCGCTTGAGGCGCTTGAGACACTTTGGGACGCTTGACACGCTTGAGACGCCTGAGGCGCATGAGGACGCGCGCGAAGCTTAAAAGTCTCGGAGCCTGTCAAAGTTTAAAACGCCTGTGACGCTTGAGACGCTTGAGACGCTTGTCTCGTTTATGACGCTTTGCGGCTTCGCGGCGCGGTGCTTCTTTGACGCTCGCCCGAACCCCCAACCCCCCTACAATCAGCTATTCTCAGCTATCTTGATTTGACGTGGAATGGCAAATCTCCTATCAGCCTGGGCCCTCGGCCGAAAAGCGCGTGGCAAGACCTGGTCTCCCTCCTTCCCAACCCTTCCCCCACACCAACCCATCACATGCGCCCCCTCCCGAGATGCTGTGCTCGTTTGGGGGAGCTGCAATCCGATGCCACGGGGTGGCTCAAGCCACGGGACGTGCACGTCGGCAGTCAACAAAACCCAAAACCATGAACCCGCGGCGTAAATGAGCTTGGGGGACAAGCGCCCTGCTTGTGGCAGTAGAGGCTTGCAGAGGTAGTAGGGGGTGCCAATGTTTCGGAGCATTGGTTGTGCCAAGTGAAGCTTGGGTAGGGTGCAAGGGAGCCGTCAAGAAGTCAAGAAGACAGCGAAAGGAGGGGTCTGGCGTCCCAGAGGAGGGGCGGGGTCGTCCCGGCAAGGTGTTAACACGGTTTCGCTCGCACGCTCGCACGCTGGCACGTTCGCATGCATGCACACACGCACGCACCGACCAGGTTTCAAGGCCAGGCGGGCGCAGTGAAACTGCAGCGCTTGATAGCACTTGTGTTCCGAGACCTCTCTACCAAGCCTCCTCGGAGTCATCACCACCATCCCACCAACCTTGCCACAGTTCGCGCAAGCGGCCTCCGTAATCCTTGGATGAGACTGGAAAATGTTCATGGAACGAGATCGGCGCGGCAGACAGGGATCCAGGGACCCATGCGCTGCAACAAAAAAGACCTTGAGGCCAAAACATGCTCTCAAAGTTGCCAGGCCTCATTCACTGTGCTTTTCACTGACGCGTTGGTGTAGTAAAAGTACGCTCCAGCTCCAGACACAGCAGCCAGCACAAATAGGAAAGCCAGCACACTCCTCGGGATCATTCGGGCAAACACGAGACTTGACATCAGCTCTCGTGGAAGATAGGGCATGGTTCCTGCGCCCATCATCTCGGTTGATAAAGGATTCCAGCTAAGCTCATGTTCCGGCAGTGCCCAGGCCCGTCGAACGATGAACAGCACAGGAATGCAATGTACGTACCAAACCTTTTTCATCCAATATAGTCGAACACGACTGTGCCGCCATAGCCCTTAAGCGCAATTCGTAGTCGTACTGCCCATGCGCCGAAGTCTCCCATTGCTGCTCGGTGATTCGCTGGTAGTTTCACCAGCATCGTCGACGACCACGACAGGGGCAGCAGCCTTCAAACCACGACAGCTGAAGGCAAATTGAAGGCTCAGCAGGGGGGGTGCCCTTCGATCCCGCAACATTGAGGAAGGCTCAAGGCTGCGTGTGGGGTTCGGGTTAAATGCCCGATGGGGCACGGCCAAGGTTGCAGCATCAACCTTTTGGTAGACGTCCTGCGCAGCTAGCAACATCATGAGCTTGTGCAGTGCATGCACAGTCCATAGAAAAGGTAAACCCTAGACAACTGCCGCTGCAAATGTTCTGGAAGCATTTTGAGAGAATTTTGGGAGCACACCGCTCAGCCCCAATTCTCCAAGGCACCAGTTTTTGGATGCTCCAGAAAGCGTCGCCTCTGCGACTCTGCATCACACAAATGGTTGCTTGGGCATTCACGGGGGCAAGACATGCCAAATCGCTGCTCCAAGTGGCTAAAAGCCGAGGGGTTGTTCCTCACATAGTCCTAGCAGGGTGCAGAAGGGCATTTTGAACAGGGGATCCTGCTGCCAACCTCAGCACAAGTCGTGCCGAATCAAGGACAAGCTGAAGTACCATTCGGTTGACACCGATAAAGTGCTCCAGTGATGGGATTTCCGAAGTCGACTGCCTCCCCTCTTTGAAACCTAAACCCGCAGATATTCAACACCCCGCTTAGTCCGAAAGATGTCGAAGTGACACCACAGCCGGAACGGCAGGGAGAAAAAAAAAAAGAGGCTCCTCGCAGCTGGTCTTCAGCCACGGGCACATCGCTTTGAAGGTTGAGCCTGCATAATCGCCTCGCGAAAGAAGCAGATCCAACGCTACCGTCACTATAGTACAAATAGCCATGGGGACTTCTTGGGTGCACCAAAGGCCTCCCTAGCAGTAAGGAACCCATGCAGACGAATGGTCTTCGTTGCTCGGACCAGTCGCCACAGAACGTTGTGTCGAAGACGATTCGCATGTTCTTGAAGTGGTCCGCCGTGCACCTTGGAAACACCCACGCCCAACACATGGAACTCCATGAGGATCTATCACACACCTGATCACAAGCTCTAGACAAAGTGCCATCGCTCGTTCAGCGTGAAGAAGGAGTTTGGGGTGCCCCACCTGAGAGCATGTGCCGAGTTCTGCATGCAGCGTATGCTTCATACTGGAAAACTCTCCTTGGCCATGTACAGTCGAATCTAATGGGTCGAATCAATTGCACACCCCCTTGCAATTCCTTGGACGAGCGCCCTGAGTCCACAATAGTCCACAATAACTCACCTCTGGCCTGCGACCTGCACCGGCTGAACATGTGTGTGTACTCATGGTGCCTGTGCTGTGCAGACACCAGCAGCCCGCTTCCAAGGCGCATGTCTGGTTGCGGAGCGCTCGCGACCAAGTCAATCGGCTCTTTGCCCGCCGGAAAGAACCAAGTTCGCATGAATTTTCGCACCTGGCACTGGTTCTGAGGGCTTCAGGCCAGGCAAAAAGCGCTTCATGCCGGACCCTCACTTCAAGGGGCATTCCGATGCGAGTGCGGGGCACAGCAAACACAAACCAGACTAGGTGCGATTTTTTTCCCGATGTACAGGGCGACAGTGGTCTGAATCAAGAAGTTTTAGGTACGTCGACGGGCAAAGCTGCACAAACACTCCACAAACACTCCACAATGACCATCAATGACCCACAATCTTAAAGACGGAACAACGCTGTGGGTTTCCAAAGTGTGTGGTTAAGTCGTCAGCATGTCTCTCGGCAATCGCTGTTCATTGTAGAGTTGGCATTCCAAGGGCAATTCCTTGTGAGCTATGCAAGAATGGAGCGAAGTGCCAATTGCCGAACCTTGTCCCATTCTGCAACGAAGGTCCCACCTGTCAATGCTCGCATATGTGGCGAATAAGGCCTACACAACAAAAGCTCAGGAACACAGCAGACCGTGTGCTTCAACTTCCGTCTTTACCCAGGCATACCTGCGACTCTCAGCCTTTGCTTCACTCTGGGTCCCTCTAGGTCCCATCAGCCATCCGGCCTTGGTTCTTGTTGAAGCTCGGGCCAAAAGATCCTTCCGGTAACTTCTGGCCACAGCCCTGGTTGTCGTACTCTTGCGGCGCCTTGACCTGGGAATGTCCAAGGGCGAGCTTCGCATACGGCAATACTTTAGCAACCCTTTCCCTAGCCCTAACCCGTACAAGGTTCCCCGAATAAGGTCTACTTTTACATTTTGGGGTCCTGAAGTTGGAAACAGGTAGCCCAGCAGTTCTTCGCCTTGTTGGTGCCGGCTGAACCTGCGGCCCAACCTGGTCCACAGCCGTAACAAGCACATGAACACAGCTTTGCGAGCTTCGGCGCATATAATGGCATATAAGAACCATTTTCACCTACTTGGACCGCCCTGATTTCAAGCACGGCGCCTTGCCCCACGAAGTCGATTCCGTTGTTGACCTCTCGCCTTCATTCGAGGATGACATGTGGTGTGCCAATGTCCTGCGTCGCCTATCAACTTTGGTCAAGTCTGGTGAGGAAGAGAAATTCTCGAGCACCGCGCTGGTCGCAGCTCGCACGGGTGTGCAATGTTGTCGTTGCCTTCAGCGGCGGCGCCGTGTCTGCACAATGCACATTGATGTCAGGTGCTTTCCCCAATCAAGCCGAGGCACATAGTCTTGCACGTGGATTGACTCCAAGATGTCATACTCTCCCCACCGAGGCCAGGCATGCTGGGCGTCATCACCGAACATCCAGAAGGCCGGCCAGGCTCCTACAGTGTCACTGTACGTCAATCTCCGCTCTATAGGTGTTGATGTTGCTGCGCAAGCAGCTACTTGATATAAACTGTAGAGCCAAGGGTCCACAGGCTGTGGGGACATGGTCCAAGGTCAGGACAAACATTCCACCATTGTAGCCTAAGTTCCCAAGTCGAAATGGAGTTGCAAGGTGGGGTTCGAGTTGCATCCATTGTGTCCATGCCACTGTTCTTGCTCTCTATCCTCACGGCTTTTCTGCCACCTGCCAGGATCATGGGTGCTGGATCCCATGACAATTCTTGTACTGGGGGCGTTGGCCCATGCGGAGCATGCCCCGGACCCACGGCACGTTCTGCTGTAGCTTAGAAAACGAGCTTATGCAACAAGCCTGCCCAGATGATCACGAGCCACATTGAGACACGTGAGATGTTCATCCACTGCAAGACCTCACTGCCAGGCAGTGAAGGGATGCTGATCACACCCGGCCTTCACTACCCAATTTGGTCGCGTTGTCGACGCCCATGAAGACTCCAAGCTCAGCGCGGCAGACACTAGAATGCATCTGATTACATCTTCTGCACATCTGCCTTCTTGAGACTGTGCTGGTAATGCGCATTAGCCGCCAGTCTGTGCCGACAATCAAAACTCAAAAGGTCCTGTGGTGAAACCAAGTGGCAGATGATGCAGACAGCAGCTTCCTGTTCCAAGCCTCGGGCTCCGACACGAACTCGACCTCGGCTCAAGAAAGCATCCGGGCTGGCCCTCGGCGCCAGCTGTGCATCTCAGGAAGTCTAGGCGATGTTACCAGGAACGTGGACTAACGGAACAAATGTGGAAGAGAAACCAAGGACCCAAGTGAGTGAAGAGCTCAATTGCAGCGAGCGGCCGTGCCGTGGGTGGGGTCGGGTCCTGTGTAGAAGTTCCAGTGTTGGAAGAATTCCGGGCCCACCAGCCGCTCAACCGGAGCATATCTGGGCGTGCGTGCAACACGTCAGAAGATGCAGTGCGACCCTTCGAAGTCTTTGGTAGCACTCTTCACACACTCACACAGAGTCACGCAGCAACATCGAACAGCAAGACATTGCCAAACATTGCAGAACCCGGCCTCAGGATTTGAGCGACCGCACCGCGCAACAGCAAAGCTGACAGGGCGCGTGCAGAAATTGATTCGGAGTGACTGCAATGGCTTCGTGGTCCCTAGAGAAATAGCAATTGAAGGAGTGGAAGCTCCTGTGCTAGAGATGACAAAACGAACTTCCTTAAACTGCCTTGCGGCCTTGCGGTCGTGCCAGAGCGAATCCTACTCAACACCCCTGTTGAACATGTCTGAACACTACCAGGCCTAGCACGGCCAGGTGACGCTCCATGACTCGCGGGGCCATCTGGCCCCAAGCCACCCGCTGTATGGGATCAAAGTGCTGCGAGGTCCAATGGAGGTCATGCTTCAGGGCTTCAGGGTGCTTGTTTCTCTCCCCTCATCCAAAGCTCCAAAAGCGCTCCGAGGCAGGTGCAACCTGCATGGGTTAGTACCGGAAATGGCGCTGCAGTCTTTGGGTCCGCACTACAGCTATAACTGCAAGAAACAAACATAAAGCCTGCCCATGGGACTGTTGGCCCCAGATGTGACCCACGCAGGGGAGCTTACTTCAAATTCAAGCTCCCCTGGCGTATAGTGGGATCCAGCGTGTGTGGGCACTGTACATGAGGAACCCTAAGACCGAGGCGTGGCTCACCAGGAGCCAAGCTTGGCCAAGATCGCAGAGCAGCTTCGTTGACGGCTCTACTAAGGTACTACGCAGCTTTTTGTCCATCCCGCGCCTCCCACCACCTGAGATGCTGGAAGGAAAGGTAAGGGAAGTCCGACCAAGCGCGTCTGAGGCTACAGAGTCTTGTCGCGACAGAGGCCGTCACCGCCACTACATCTCCCAGCCAAAAAACAAAAAACAAAAAACAAAACTCTTTCAGCGTCCGACTGCGCCCGTGGGGTCGGCTGAGCACCGGCAACTCCGACCAACTCGAAGGTGCCTCCAACAATCGCTGGTGGGAACTCGGCACCATCTGAATACAACGTGCACTGCCTTACCTGGGGATTCCATTGGATTCCATTTAGCATGCAAAGTGCAGGCTACATCTAACGTGCGCGCTTGCTTGGCATTCGGCGGGCTCAACTCCCGATGGTGGTTTGCCAGCCCCTGTAGCCCCTGCATCCCGAGGAGCCTTTCGATGCCTTAGGGTTAAAGATTGCATCCAGCACCGCCAGCCCCACATCGTCACCTCAACACGTTTGACACTAGCTTTGGTTTTGGCTGACTCCCTTTGAGAAGGAATGCATGCGCTACTGCCAAAGCAGTGTGGCAGGGTATGTCGCACGTGCGGAAAGACAAGCTGCCTGCTCTGAAGAGAGCTGGCCACACACACTTTGTGCAACCACCAAGGTCACGGCGGCTGATCTTCTTCCCAACGTCCGACTCACGCAGGCGCAGCCTTTTAACAGCTGGGCTTGTAAGGCATTGTACACGTCTACTCCAGTATGAATGAAGGCACTTGAGCCCATGTGAGTCCCATACGAGTCCGGCTTGGCGAAGTAGATCCCCCCGACCTGAGGTTTAGCCGGTCAGAAAGTCTGAAACATTCTGAAACCCTCCATTAGCACATGGAGCCATGGCTAAGGTAAGAATGGGTTCTGGAGATGCAGGTTGGCTCAAGATATTCGAAGGAGTCGAAGGACTGATCCGAAGCACGAAACGGCTCAATCTAGAGTCCCCACGTGTACCCGAACCCAACCACCGAGCTAGAAGCCGAAACCGCCGAAACCGAAGCAGAAGCACGACGTCCCCTGAAATTGGCGATCACGCCCAGCTTGGTTGCCGCAAAGGCGCATCTCTGGGGAAGTCGTTGGTCATCGGCACCTCAAAAACACATCTGGCAACTCTGGAGCTCTTTGAAGCTGTGGCTTTTCGGGGCCCGCGCTGGGCGAATGATGGTGTAGTCAAGGCCAGACCTTCAGGCGAGTCTTGAAGGCTAATATAGGGGCCTGAATAATTTGCAATGGGGTTTTGGGGGCCACTATAGTATAATTACAAAGGGGCCATGAGGGAATACCATTAGTAACTAGTAACTATTCCGACCTCTATATTACTCTGAGGACAGCAGGTGAAGTTGAAGTGTATAGCGCACGGTCACCCTGAGAAAACCGCCCAGAAAGCTGGGTCAGAAGAACATTAAGCGGCTATCCTCTGAACATGGCTGAGCATTGCGCTTCTTGATGTACTCCTCCGCTTCCAGCTTCTTCTCCAGCACGCTTCCGAAACTGAAGCTGACGGTGGTTGCTGCTCAAGATCAACTTTGCAGCTCCTTCGGAGATCCCGTGACCGCACCATGCACTACCTAAACCACCCAAGACCCCAAAAAAACTTCCCGAGCGCGAGCTTCTTGAGCTTCCTGCTTGTTCCAGTTCTTGTAAACATCGCTTTCCGTGACCTCATCCTTGGCCCCCATTTCATGCACGAGAAACATGGAGCAAACTTCCTGCATGAAAGCAAACCGTTCTTCAACTATGCACTGTTCGGCGGCTGTACAAAAAGCAGCCCCTTTTCATGCAGCCAGCATGTTTCTGTCAGCGGCCATTTTGCGGCACAGCAAAACAATGTGTCACGACAAAAACATGTGCCGGTGCAAAATGCAAGCCAGCATGATGTGAAGCAAGTCCCCTCTTGTCTCCGAGACAATGGCGCCGAGGTTTTTGCCATTGGCGAGGATGGCAGACCTTTACGGGGCAAAGCAATAAGTTAGCATAACGAGCTCATTGAAGCCAAGTCCCTCTTCTTCTTCTTCTCCTTATTCTTGTTCTTCATATTCTTCTTATTCTTCTTCTTCGTCTTCTTATTCTTCTTCTTCTGCTTCTTGTTCTTCTTGTTCTTCTTCTTCGTATTGCTATTCTTCTACTTCTTCTGCTTCTTCTTCTTCTTCTTCGTCTTCTTCTTCTTCTGCAGGGAATGGGGTCTCTCTCTCTCCCTCCCCTCTCTCTCTCTCTCTCTCTCTCTCTCTGCGAACGAAGAGAATACTGGAGAGGTTCCAGGTTCGGCTTCCGTGAGCCCCAGGCACGTAAATGAACTTTTTCACGCCTGGGCGAGTTTCTGTAAGGCACGACTCGCGCAGCGAACAGTCCCTCTGACAGATCTGGACATGCAATCGCCGCGTGAAGCTTCTTTTTCCGCAAGCCTGTGCGCCTGTGCAAACGGAAGGACGGAAGACCGTTGAGGGCAAAGTCTTTGCACCCTCTCAGGCCATGTAAGGCGTAGGACATGGGCCTGCACACTGGCAACACTGGGTATGGACATCTCTCAGGAGCCCGAGGCATCCACCCATGGCTTAGCCACCGGCGACCTCGAAACCCCTTGCAGCAAGAGTTGCCGCCCTCAACCCTAAACGAAACCATAAAAGCTACACAGGCCCTCGCGTGAATTAGATCAGGCCATCCTCCTCGGGCCGCGTGCGTTCAGAGCGCCTGTTTGCCGCGCTCGAGGGCGGCTGGGCCTTGCGACCTGTGACTGTTAGACCCTTCAGTGGCACAAGGGTTTCCATGAAGACCTGAATCAGACCTAAGACGACCCACGATAATCGCCTGACATCGCCTGCCATTTGTCAATGTGTGCTCGAGAACCAACCCTTGGCTGATATGACTCATGTGCCTGTTCCGACAACAACCGTGCCTTGGGCCAAGGTGGTGGCGGGGCCAAGGGCTGCACACGACCTGAGTCTTTCATAATTCGGACGTGCGTGCACATATCGTTGTCGCGCTTTAATCGCAATTCATGTCTCTGTTTGTGCTGAATGAGCGGCCCTACACTACGAACACAGAAGCCACTCGATCTAGGCGAGATACGGAAAAAGGAACTCGTCGACGTGGTGTCACTCAGTCCATTGAATTTGACGAAACGACATGCGCACACCCGCGAGTCTCTCACGCACTCCCCGCAGCCACACACTCGTTCTTAATGAAAAGTGCATATGCCTTTCCATTGCAGGCAAGGCACGCGTGCCGGTAGGCTTTCGGATGCTTTCGGGGTTCATATTTTTTTGAATTTGGACATGCCAGGCAGTGACCATTTTTAGACAATCCCTGCGAGGCCAAACGTAGAAAGTCTGTGTTCACCATTCTCTCCCTGGTTGTCCTCTAAACGGAGTCTTCTCGGCACTGGATTTGCCTTTGGCTAGCCGCCTAGACTGAGTTCCAAGGGCTTTCGCTTCAGACTCTAAATTTGTCTATGTCAGTATGAAGGTACCCTGACTGCATTGCCACGTGTGCACACATACCATTGAAAGGCGACTTAGCGCCTGGCGTCCGCCTGCCACCACAAGCACTGGCCGCCCGAGGGCACCAAGATCTTCAGTGGGGATGCCAGCCTTACAACTAACACGGAGATAGGAAGCTGGAAACATTTGACCCGCCTGTAGCTCGGCTACTGCATCTGATCTGCTACTTGATTTTATTGTGAATTCGGGCCGAAGCCTAGATGGCCCCCGCCTTTTTGTGCACCCGGGAAGCCCAAGATGACTGCAGATCAGGCATGTGTTTTACGCAGCGTGTGGCGGTCTCTCTTGCGAGGTGCGACAACCAGGATGTCTGCGGAGAGGTCTGGTGCCAGGCGACCGCACCTTGGCAAGCTTTCCGCATGGAGGGCAAGAGCTTCAGTTTCCATGATTTCTCGGGCTGCCACTCTGCTTCCAGGCCCAGAACCGCAGCCGGCACAGATGTGGCAGCTTTGAGTGCTTCCACAGGAGTCATCCTACGACATTCGGTCAAACACGTTCCCAACAGGCGCCAGCGAACTGCCCCAGCCCCTGGGCCAGAAACGTGTCCTTGCCTGGCCATCTCTGCCAAGACCTCAATGCCCCCGTGGAGCGCGTCGTGAGGCAGACCTGCCCACTCCCCACACTAGGCCGAGTCGGTGGGGCATGATCAAACAGGCGTCGTAGCCCCAGCAAGACCCAGGGCACTGTGTGCTACAGGGAAATTCCACGAGATCTCAGAAGAAATCGCCCTTCCACTGAAAACAAAGGTGTCTCCTGGTATCGCCCCGGCATCGGAGGAGGCCAGCAGTAGGACCCCAGCAGCGCCTTCAGAAACACTAAGAGAGTAGAGAGGAAGAAGAAACAAAGAGGAGGAAAATAGGAGGGAAAAAGAAGGAAGGGAGGCCCAGGTATCGCTCCCTCATTGACGGCCATGAACCAGATGCTGCAGAGCGTCGCAGTTTTTGCAGGGCTGCGCACATTCCTAGGAGGACCCCTCCAACCTCTCATCACTCCTTTGCTTTCTGGTCTGTGCTGCCAAGAGTCGCGTGTAATTGCGCTCCCCCATAGGCTTGTACCGCCAGTTTGCATGTGCAGTTGGGGCAACAGCTGTGCCCTGTCGCGCCATGGCCTTTGCCAATTCGTCGCAGGAGACACCAAAGTCTCAACTCCCTCTCGATGCCTTTTCGCAACCCCTGCCTCCACGGTGGAGTCATCAACGCATCCCCACTGGCCAGCCTTTGCAATCCAGCTGCAATGTTCCACGGTTCGGCAGCCTGCCTGCAAGAAGGGCGCATTGCTTGTCACTGCTTTGCTGTGCTTCCGTTGTGGCTTCGTGGGCAAGACCTTCAGAAAGCTAGTTGATGATTGTGAGGGTATCCGAAGACGAGCGAGCAGAAGCCGTTACTGTCTATGCTGCGGTTCAGTTTGACAGAGCACTGGCATCATCATGCCAAAAGTCATCATCATGCCAAAAATCATCAGAGCACTACAAAATTGCCACCTGCACTGCGTGGACCACGCCCTGTGCGCCATGCGCGTGAGCCGCCACTGCCAGCGAATTTTCGCGGGCTCGGCCAACCACCTACAAAAACCGGTGGGGCGACAAGAGTTCGCTCAGTGCAAGGAATGAGATTCCGTCTCCGCGTCGCACCTCTGTCAGATCCCGAACGGAGATGGTTGCTTCCTGGCATAGATATTCGCTTCTACGGGATGCAACGGGCATCAGCCAGCTTGTGCTCCCCATGAAAACCAACCAGCCGCAATTTGTCAAGCCACACTCTCTCTCAAGCCACACTCAAAACTCAGATCTATCTTACTGTTGGGGGACGTCCATCTCATCATGGGTGGGGTCTCCATGGCCTATTCATACTGCACAACTTCCCTGAGGCACCTCTACATTGGTCCCTGGCGTTCGCATTCCTCCGGTAGCCATGACCTTGATCCAGTCAACGCCATTCTCCACCTCGGGCCATGAACACCAAGGAGACCCCTCGCAGCATTTTCACTCTAAGCGGCCTGGCGGTCGACGACTGCCAAAGCCTCATCGAGTGAGCCGGCCTGGTGCTGCCATGCGCAGCTTGTAAGCAGAACGAGCTTCTGGCGGCCTGGCCTCGCCGCCCCACTGGTGACAGTGGCCTCCAGGCCTTGTCAGCGGTTGCCCAGCACAAAGCCTGGGGATCAAAGGTGTGAGCCTACTTCGTGTAGTTGCATGGTTTGATGTAACATGCTAAATCTTGTCTTTGGACCGGATATGGCTTGCCGGTAGAATTGTCGGGCCGATTGTTCTGCGATTTGGACGGTGGCTCTGTCACTGCCTGTACGAACATCATCCAACAGGTAGGCAATCTCCCGACACTTTAACACGCTTGTACAAGCAAGGGTGCCACTTGCGCAAGACACTTGTTACGTGCGGCAAGCACAAGCTGGGCTACTTCGTCAAAACTCTTTGGATGTGGGGCCATGGGGTGGCAGCGCCATGCGACTATTTGTTCACTTGCCATGGGAAACATGTTCTACTTTCCTGCCGCCAAAAAGCAAGCGAGGGCCCAAGCACTCTCCCCGACGGATGGCATTTCGAAGACCTCAGTGTTCAGCCAGGGACAGAGACACAAAGGATAAAACCTGGCCTGTAAACAGATACTATGTTGTACTGACAGTGAAGAGGAACATAGGAAAAACTTGCTAGCACCAATCCGTGCCAGGGTGCCAATCGCTGCATAGTTGCGCCCTCCCAAGTCCCGCGCGGTGGTGATCCTGCGCGAGCAAGCAGTCTCCGCCGGAAGCCAAGCACCACGAGGCGACACGATGTGACGACGACGCGATGGCCATGTAGAGCATGACGGACGGCTCATGACGGCACTCACCACAAGAAGCACGGGCTAGGATGCTACAATGACCATGCCAGGGCAGTCCCGCTGCGCAACATGCGCAGGGCGCGCTCGGCCATGGCTTCTCGCAGCTGCATCGCCGTGAACTCCGGCTGCTGGTGGAGGGGGAAGTGCTCACTAAACTCCATATGTACCTCAGCTCACATCCGGCAACTGCAGAAACCAATGTGCGCGCATTTGCCTTGCACTGGGCTTTGGAACAAAAGATGTTTACTTACCCATCGTTCAGCCAAGCTGGCATGCGCATCGATCAGCCCAGGCATCACCGTGCAACCCGGGTAGTGTTCCACGGGTAAGTCCAAATCGACGGCCTAGTGCTTGCAGGCACGATGGTCGAGGGTTTGGACTCCGGAAGGGGTGTGCAATGCCGAGGGCCAGTTTCTCCACGACATGAGGTCTGGGGATATCTGAGCAGGCCTGAGACTACCATGATATGGCTCCCTGAGACGTGCTGTATTTCGTGTGCCTCTTGAACGCTGCACACGCGGACGATGCGCTGCCCCCGGACGATGACGCACTGCCTGCAAGCAGCATAAGCAGCTGGGGAGACCCAACAAAAGGAGGAGGCAGGAATAGCTCTTCAATTGCCAACTGCACTTGATTTTACACGAATGATGCCCCCAAAAGCCTTGGGGATGCTTCCTCTGAGCTCCCATCCCACAGAAAGTCACCGGCCAGAGCCCAGTGGCCCTCCTCTGCCCTCGGCCTGCCAAATCCACGCAGTTCCCCCCGCTTTGCAGGACTTCCGGAATGTTAGTTGCCGAGCCTGTGGCCTTGCAAGCTGCAAGACGAGCTGCCGACACCTGAGCTTTAGCTATCGCCCAGACTATCGTGCGCAATCTTTCACCTGCGTGCCGCCCCAAGAAACAGTGGAAGATAGTATGGTAGGTTGTGAGGAATGCAAGGACTTTGGGATAGTTCGCGCATCCACCTTGTCAAAAAAAGCCGTGGCCACTCGCTCGGGCAAGGCTCTGTCGGTGTCGGGCTTCGACGTGGAGGGCCCTGGCAGTACCTGGCATGCACAAGCCAGAACCTCAGCCAATGGAGAGCTGAAAAGCCCACAAACATTGCTGTGCAGCTACGTGCACCTCCGGAGCCATCGGCCATGGAGCAAAAGGTGCACTGAGCTCTGGATATTAATGACTGTTCTGCCAAAGCCGATCAGCAATGATCTTCTGCCCACATTGCAGTTTCCTGCTTTTCCAAGTTTCTAGCAGCGAGTACAATGAAGTTCGCCCGTTCTCCAGGCACTCCAAACAGCTGCAGAGAGGTCCGCAAGAAGTTGGCCGGCAGTCTGCAGGTGTTTCTGTGATACCACTGGACGATCACCACTTGCAACCTCAAACCCTAAACAATTTACAGCCCCATTGACACATTTGACACATTTGACAGGCTGTTCTTGGGTTTCGGGCCCTTCTTGACCGCAGCATCGACCAACGCCTTGGTGCCCTGCAAATCGCATCGCTCCGGCCTGAGCAAAACCGCATGCAGGAGGAGCTTGACTTCCCCCTTCCACTGTTTGCCGGCATCACACTGATGATCGCTTGGGCCATGGCTCTGTATTGTCCAGACCTGGGCCGCAGAAGTGAGCTCGGCGCCATCCCCGACCCACATGGGATCGAAAAGCCAGCACAGTACCCAAAGCATCGCAATAGTTCCAGGAGAACTGACCAGCTTGAAGGGCAAGATTTGGCTCCTAAATCCTGAACTTTGGGAGCTGCGTCAAAACACTGAAATCCTTAACTCCTCAAGTTCCTCTTCAAGCTTTAAAGACCCGATGCAAACGTTCGATTTGGGCTGCCTTCTTATCTTTCCCCCGCAAACTTGAAGGTCACCTGGGACTTGATTAACCCTGCAAAGGCTTAGGTGTTGGCGATGTAACTATGTACTGCAACTAAGTTCCACACTTTTGGGCCTCAAAGCCGAAAAACCCTAAACCACAAACCCTTTTTTGCAGCCGGACTGAGGGCGTTGACCCTAAACCCCAAACCCAAAGCTCCCGACCGAGGCCGGGCCGGAGGATGTCGAAGCCGAAACGCGCGCCGGCGAGGTCCACGACCTTCTTCTGGCTGAGGTACCCTTTCTAATCCCTTACAAGGGTATATGCCTTGTGGCGCAAAGTACTTAGATGGGGGGGTAGCGCTCTAAATTTTGGGCATGTCCCCAAATAGGGGAACCCTTCATATGCCCCCAAAATAGTATAATCCTTTTTCTAGGAACCCCCAAAAAGGGTACCCCTAATTTCGTAAACCCCCATTGGGGGTCCCTTTCTAAGGGTTATGATTCTAAGGGTGCCTTATTCCATAAGGGGATGGGACTTTGACGAAACTTCGGATGCACTGGCATCCCTTGTGGAAGGGGTTAAGTCGTCTTGGGGAATCTCATGTGGAGGAGGAGGAGGAGGGGCGTGGAGGGGGTCCAAACTTCTCCCATGGCTGCTATGGCATCCGACTGCTAGTCGACAATCTTCATGCGCGACAACTAAGCAGGATCCCCTGCCGAATGCTATTTGGGAAGTCTGGAAGTGGTAACTCTCAGGGAATTGGCCACCCCATTGTTACAGCTTCTTGTTTGCGATAGTGGAGGTCGTGTTTTTGCCATTCAAGCAATTGCTTGGAACATGCTGTAACATTCTGAGCTTACACGCTTCAGTGACTGTACCATCCTGTGCCTATTCGCTGTCTGCTAGTGCTTCGTTGAGCAGTTGGTCGGCTGGAGCTGCCTGTAATGAATCTCTGTACGTGCAGCACACATGTGCCAAACCAGGCTACGAGTACTGGACCTCATGGCGATGGTGCTGGCAGTTCCGACTGCCATTGAGATGTCGCAGTTTATCGAAAGTGATGCGGATAGCCTGAGCTCTGCTCTCTTGCCTTTCGCTGCGTACGTCTCCTGTTGTCTTGAGCACAAAGCCTCAAGCCTCGCACCGCCCGGCAAACTTGCGAGCATGCCCTTGCCCTCGAGTTGGGCCTTCGGACACAGCTATGTCTGATGGTTCTCTGAGCCTGCAACCACAGATGCATCCAGGAGCTGCTCCTCCAGCTCCTGGGGCACCGGCAAAGTATGGCATGGACCGAGGCCCTAGAGCCCTAGAGTCAACCTCAAGTGTTGAAACCCGAGTCAACTTGCGTTGCGGTTGCAGGCCTGTTTGGGTCTTGTTCTGGCACAGTACACAGCAGAGATAGATAGTTACTTGCTTCGCAGGGTCGTTGGGAAGCGAAGCAGCGGCATCTTGAGCAGCATTTGGCAGCTGTCACTGAATCACTGCACCATTCGCGCCTTCTCACGGCCACCTTCAATGAAGGCATCCTTTATGACCGTCATTTGGTACCTTGGGGGGCCAGTATTGACTGTGCGAAGTATAACGAGGATTCTCGAGCGTCCAAGGGCCAACATTCGGGCAAATCACACGTTGCCTGATGTCCACTTTGCGCTGTATTGGGCATACTCGACGACATCCAAGCCGCAGCATGAAGCAGAACGCTTGGTGTCAGGCTTTGTGGAAGATCGGTTCATGTACTGAACCTCTGCAATGCGGCCTGCCCGAGACGATGTTCGGTGTGCAGGAAGGAACTGGCAAGCAGGCTCTACCTGTCCACGTGAAGTGAGCATGAACATGTGCAGATGCAAGACCCATGCCGTGTGCTCGGAGCTAGCGTACGGCCTGCCTTCATCACGAGCACCGCAGTAGATGGACCTGGTTCCGACATGGGCACGCAGTGCGGCAGCAGGGCAACCGCACCGCGCTGCGCCAAGCCCTCAGCCCTACGCGCCCTAAGCCCGCAGCCCCAAGCCCGCAGCCCTAAGCCCTAACCCCGACCTAGCGGGGGTGTGTCCGAGCTTCAAGCATCCCGGTCCGGAGCATGTCCAGAACTGCCTTGTCATCGGGCTTACAGCTCTGGTTTGGGACGTCTCACTCGTCTACTGCATGCTGATGTATGCTGACTTGGCGGCTCAGAAAGTCATCATCACACACGAACCGCTGAGCTACAAAAGATGAAGCAAGGCGGTACGTGAACTTCTGAGCTCCCCCACTCGGCGACCCAGCTCCCCTGTCGATCCAGCGACAAAGACCTGACAGGGGGGGCTGTAGACAGCGTGAAGCTGTAAACAAAACATGAAGACGACAACCATGACAATGGCTGGGCAGTCTTTTTGCACTTCATCACCTGGGTTAAGCATCCCCTTTCGGCTTTGCTACGTAACGACGGACCTGACCCTAAACCCACTCAATCGATGTCTGTGACAGGTCCGTCGTGTAGACTTCCTATCTTTAAGCCTGTGTGTGAAGATGCACGAAAGCAGGTCTGCAGGCCTTTGCTGTACAGGGGGCCCTCCATGGCCCTCCCTAAGGTGAAGAAAGCTGAACCAAAAGCTTCGCGCTGAATGTGAGCTACCCAATTTGCTTACAAGCATGTCGAACATTGCATGTGCCTTCGGCTTGTCAAGGAAGCAAGGAACTTGGTCGCACATCTGAAGGCCTGGGTGCAGAAATTCCACATAAACTTGTTGTTTTGAAACCTGTGTCGTTGCAAGTTGCGAAACTCAGTTCCAAAAACGAACGGGCACTGTGTCTGTGCTTCCGCATCAGCTGGGCAGCCCATTTCAGGTTGCACTCATGCTGGTGGGGTACCCGCATGTTCAGCAATGTGAGCAGTGCTTGCCACAAGCTAGGGGATCAACTCTCGGTGGCTGTCAGTCTTCCGTCGGGCCTCACACAATGCACAAGAAAGGAAGGACTGGATCATGTCTGGCACTTTCAGAGGTCTAAGAGACCGACAGAACTGCCCGGCCGTACCTTGACATGCAAATGAAGCCTGTGAAGGCATGCGCGGGCGAGGAGTGCATTCTAGTCTCCAGGTTTGTGAGGGGATCCCATGAGCATCCTTGGACCAAACATAGCAGGATCGAACTTCCCATGGACAGGCCGAGGAACTCATCCAGGCGCATGTTTTCCGCTCGGGCCTTATCTGCTGCACATTCTTCAAGAGCGCACAGTAGCCCTCACAAACCATTCGTGTGAGATGATGGCAGATGCGTCGGCGGCCATTCCATCTGCGATCTTGCTGTGTGACTTTGCGACACGCGCTGCCCTCGTGTCTGACACGCACAGGCGATGCGATCATAGAGTAGCTACCAACAGAAGGTGAGGCAAACGAAGACCGAAGCAAAAGCAAAGGCAAGAGAGGGGCTCTGTCTGTACTCTGCCCGCGCCATCTTGCTCGAGCAATTAGGTTCGATGCCGAGAAATATTCTCAGGAGCTAAGCAGCTAGGCATCACTCGTACGACAGTTGGATGTGCTCCTCCGCGCCATCATATGCATCCTGCCGAAGGGCTTTCGCAATTTTCGCATAGGCAACGTATGCCATTGCAACTCGCGAGTCTAGAGACTAGAGATGTCCAGAGCCTTTCTGTCGGAGCTGCGGACTTGCGCAGGGCGAGCAGCCCGCCGTACTTATGGTGCCTCGCACCGCCCTTCTGCGCACGCTACTTCCTTGCGCACGAAAAGCCACCCGAAGGAGCCACTCCAGATGAAAGAACAGCTCCCAGAAACTACCAGACACACAAGCCTTCCGTGTCAACCAGCAAAGGTGGCACACGTTCTCCCGGGGTCTGTGCAGTATTTTTGAGGTTCCTTTGAAAATGACATTGAAGGACCAAAGCCCAACACACCCGGCCGTCCTCCCATATGAGGCGCTTCAGCTCACGGGCCACAGGGCCAACCTTTCAGAGGCCGAAGCTCAAGGGCATCAAGAGAGTCGGGTTTTTTGGAGTAGATACAAGTAGGCGGTGAACTGAGCCTTACGGCGATAAGCCGGACACAGGACAAGCGAGAACAGTTTGCATTGTGCTGAGAACTTCTGGTTGTATGTAGTGCTCTTCGAAGAACGCCCACTGCTGAGTCTCACGACTGCCTTGAGTAGGGTCGAGTAGAAGCAGACAGGCCATGATATGAGCATGCAGGTCATGAGTAGGTGCAAAGGGCATACCGTCCCGACATTTCGTCGGTCCCGACATTTCGTCGGTCCCGACATTTCGTCGACTCTTCCGTGCCAAGGGCGTAAGCCTTCACTACTTGCGAACCTCAGACGACAAGCCTGCTAATAAGCAAAGAGCGCCAGCAACCACATCTGCACGGAAAATTGAAGAAGTGAAGATAGCCAAACCGAGCAAAAAATGCACACAAGGTCTGTGACACAATGAGGGCCTCTGTATCTAGAGCAGATGATAAATGAGGAGCATTCTAGAAACTACTGGTAGGGGCGATGTTAGCTCATGGATGCACGTGGTTGCCTGCCTCCCCATTGCCCACTCGCTGGCCATCCAGTGTTATCGCGGGATTAATGCCAAGATCGCCGGAACACATAATCACCTCGTCACTTTGGGCTAATGCAGACGTTTGTCTCCGTGCACCATAATATGCTCGTGAATCGCTGCTGCTTCGGCTTTACAAGGCGCCTCCTATCCTGTGCAAAGCCCGCACGGCGTGCCTCTTGCGCTGAGAAGAGCTGCTCCTTGTGCATCGTCTCCTGGCGGATCTCGCGCAAGACCTCGCAGATGTGCGGTTCTACAAACTGGCGACGTGTATCGACTGCAGCGGGATGCGGGCCTTCCCCTCTCCCACGAGGTGCTTCTTTGCCAAGTCCATGGCCTTGGGGGAGAAAGCGGCCGAGTGCTGGAGCTGAGCTTAATCAGATGGTATTGGGCCTTGCGTACCGTTGTTCCGGCAAGGATGCCCTCAAACCTTAGTGGGACCCATGTGGCCCCGCACGCAAAAAGACACACAGCAACGGCTGAATCGACGTTGCAAAGCTGGTCCTGGTGTAAAAGACCCGACACATCGTAACCACGGCCAGGTTGCGGAGGCGTTATGAAAACCTTGTCCTTAAAAGACTGCAGAGAATTGCTGTGCAATCACTTCAAAGATGTCAGAATTACAGAAATTCATATCTCTCCCGATACCATTTGCCGCGAAGCATCGGCAGTCACGATTGCACAGTTGGCCACGCAACCCTCGGCAACAGTGCCGTCTTCGCCTGGCTAGCAACCAAGCAATGATGGTAGGGGAGCAGCAGATGTCGTCGATTTCAAGTGAGATGCACCAAGTTATGCATGTAGGATGCGGAAGACGGTGATGTGGGACATGCAAGACTGTCAAGTCGCGGATGTTGATCAAGCTCCCTAGCCGAGAAACCCTTCCCATCCATGGGGCTTAGGCCCTACCCTTCTTGAAGTGTCTGAGAGGCTCTAAACTCTAAACCCTAAACCCCAAACCACAGAAGCCCTCTACCCTACACCCCTAAATCCCTAAAACCCGAAAGAGTGTCTAGATGTGACTGCCGTCTTAGTATGCTGTGTATGCTTTCGTCTTCAAATCTGCTGTCAAGTCGCGGATGTTGATCCCGAAGCAGCCACCACGCTCCTGTAGGGTCACCGTGGCAGGCCGTCTCGTGGCTGTGTGAGACATGCGGATTGCCGGCACCCTTTCAACCCCTCAAGACCGGCAGAACTGACATGGTCCTGTGCTGACATGGCCAGAAGACAGTTAAGCAAATAGTTGTTGCTCTTCAACGTAGCCAACAAGGTCGGCTTCATGGGAACCTGCTCAAGCTGGCAGATCCCGCGATTCTGTCGATTGTAGACCCAAGACAAAGCGGGCAAAGCGCATCGGGAGTGCCCGCAATGGCTCAAAGCTGAGCAGCCCACCTCGCTAAAGGGCACGGTGGCCTCCCCAATGGCCTCTCGTCGGGAGTCTCCACAGAATGCTTCCGATTTACAGGGCGCGCCTAAACGCCTTTGGAGGCCTGCGATGGGAAATCGGCTGCTAAAAACTCCCTTCTAAATGCCGCGCTCCCGGACCTTGACATCCTCCGTCTTCGAAGCATCGAGCCTTGAAGGTGTACTGTTCGTGTCTGTGGGTTATATAACCGTGTAGATGGGAAACTGTTCAGAGGGCAGGCAAGTCTTCCACTGCATGGGACGTTTTTGGGTTGATGGAGGGGCGTTCTGCAAAAGCCTCAGCCCAACCCCCATCCTGCATGGAGATGGGCTCGCCACAAAAGCAGGTTTCCAATTCCAGCAAGGCGCACGGTGCAGTAGAAAGCCGGCTCGCAACCTCTCCCAAAATTGACGGCGTTTTGGTTTTACACGGGGTTTTATGTGGCTTTCGCAGGGGATTTCGATGTGCTTTTTGATGCTTCATTGCTCTGGGACGAGCAAGGCGAGGATTCGAAGATGGGAGGGCGGGGGGGCGGAGGGGCTGATGTACCGTCCTGCGCAAGGCTTGCAAAGAACAACGAGACAGATAAAAAGCTTCATTGAGGGAAGTCGCACCTGCGGGCGTGAAGCCGTAATTGCCGGGGCCAGCCGTCAGAAAGAAGCGGACACCTGTGATGCAGGGCTTCGGCGCTCCATGCAGGGATTAAAACGTTTAGAGCTTCGACGCCCTTGCCCACACTCGCGCACGGCAGACAAGGCTTCGAAGCGTCTCGGGACGAAGCAACACCGGCTCGCCCACCCCGCCCGCCCAGGCCAGCCCGAACTTCCCAGTTCCGAAGGTAGTATCCAGTGGGGTCTAAAGTCATTGGGATATATAAGGCGGGCTTTGGCTTTCAGGCAATTTCGATATCCAGGAAGATTTGGGCCTGCATCTCGAAGTCCGCTGGCTACGCAGGTCTGACATACAATGTCCTTGGCACCCGCTCAAACACGAGGCGCAGAAAGGACTTGCACAAAGATGCAGCCAAAGGTCAGTGATTCTACTTCGATTCTCCTCCTGCAGGCGGGACAAGACCCAGAACTGAGTCCCGAAACACATGTGAATCTCTGGTGGGTCATACTGAGTCATACTGCTTCCGCCCATGGTTGGGCTCTCCTCGGACTCGCCGAAAGGCAGCTTCAAGCGACCCAGCTTGGCACTTTTGAAGAGGCGATCCAAGTGGATTCCAAGCCTGGTGCCCGCAGCCATGCAGTCGTGTGCCATTGGGGCCAAATGTAGTGAAAAAAGAGGCGCGTCGACTAGAGTTTTGGCCTTTCTGGCCTGCTTCAGCTATGAAGTCAGTTATGGTGAGAGGATGACGTGAGGAGCGTTCGGCCCTCCAGCCTGTAGACACGGCCCTTTGCCAGGGTGCAGGTGTCGAAGATGGCGTGCCCCCTTTGCGGCTGCGACTCTGACCAAAAAACTAGAACAAAAAGTGTCTCTGATAATCAGCTCAGGTTCCTAATGATCGCGTGGTCATCAATCGGCAAAGCCTTGGTGCGAGGTGATTTGAAGGCAGGTGCTCACAGTGCAGAGACTGGACCCCGGACTTGGGCGTGTGTTGCGAGACTTGAGATCGTGTTCATGAGCGCTAGACGACTCGCTTTCGCACAAAAGTGCGGTTCGGAGTTGATGGTTGGTGTACAGTTGTCGAAGGAGGAACCCAGTGATTAGCAGGCTCAAAAAGAACATCTGCCGAGTACTTTGTAAACGCTGCGAAAGCAACTCGAAGATTGAAGCAGGGCAGCCTGAAGAGCAACGGGACATGATGGGGGGGGGTGCTTGTTGTGGGCCCTCCGCACTCTCAGAAAACTACAGGCAAGCAGAGCAAGCGGATGTTGGAAGCAACTTTGGCCGATCTGGGGGGGTGGGACGACGAGAGAGAGGAAGCTGCTGGCTGCATTGGGGAAATTGCGGTCACGAATCCGAGTGTGGGAGGGTCCTTCCAGGAATTCCGGAAAGGACATCGAGAAGCAAGCCGAGCTAGAAGCTGCATGGGATGTTATTGTGAATAGGTTTTCAGCGCGACAAGAGCATGCTTAGGGAACAGGCTTGCTTCACTAGGAGTGCCGAGATCATGATGGCCACAATGCTTCGTTTCGTCTCTACGACTGATGCTGCACCATAACTCTGCTCAACTAACGACTGACAAAAAGCATACCCAGGTTACCCAGCGGACTTGCAAAAAGTTTCCTCAAATCATCCTGAACCCGCGCCCGTAAGCTTATGTTATGACCCCGAAACCCCCCGTTCGACCCCGATAGCTAAGCGCGGACCGCTCACCATCAGCTCTGGGTCTGTTATGATGCCATCCACCAGCGAGGAGTACATGGCTTTGATAAAATGGCCTCTGCGAATAAGCAGATGAGGTCACACAAGGCAAGCTGCCAACAAAGTGCAAGGAGACAGTCAAACTCTTCGAAACCAACTCACGTCCGAGGGTCCGAATGTCTGAGTGTCTGAGTGTCTGAGTGTCCGAGTGTCTGCTGCGCGAAATCGAACCCTTATTGCGCCCCCAATCGGAAGTCTACATTCCTGCGACTTTTTCCAGCCTCCAGCTCCTGAGCTTCTCTTCTGGCGCGCTGCCTTGGACCTCATCTGCAATGATTTCCCCGCACCACCACCCCGTCCCCTGGAACTTACACAACTCACATTTCCAACAGCCTGACAGGCAATCAGGATCCAGTCCAGAGCAGCAGTCTGCACAGCAGTCTGCAGCAGTTCGAGGTTACCGCCGAGGCACTTCTCCAAGAAGCTCTCGCGGTCAAGGACGGCCAGTTTTCGCTTCTCGCCTTGTGCAAGCACGTTCAAGCTCCACCGACTCAAGCTGAAAGTGCCCCAATGCGAAAGCCCATCCCGCCCCCCTTCCCCACCCCCCCGTTCAATCCCCGATCCCCGCCTGCAGAAGGCATGGTGCCCAAAGAAAGCCGCAGGCGCAGGAGCCCGCGTGAGCCGCCACAAAAACGCTGCGGAAGGCTCAGTCGGGGAACCAGCAGAAAAGACCCCCCCAACATCCCCCAAATCTCGACCAAAGGTGACTAGATGTTCGAACTGGTCCCAACCTCGGGCCCCGAGCCTCCCCCGCCAGAGTCGCCACCGCCACACCGGCGATCGCCTCCGCAGGACTGGAGGAGCTCAAGTCATCAAGCCAGTGTCATGCAGGACCCCGCTGGAAAACGGAATGGCAGACATGGCAAGGACCTTCCACTATGAATCACACCACAAAGGACTCAGCACTTGCATTGGTGATCCCACGGCTGATTCGATCCAGCCTGTCGACGTGGAGCTGCCTGCACTTGTGACCCAGGCTTCAAGGACGAAGGAGTTCGACGCTCGCACTTGCACATGGATTTAGGGCCACAGGCCACGAAAATCTGCAAGCAGCTGCCTGTGGGGTTTGGGATTTAGGGTTCTAGTGAACTCCAAAAGTTGGAACATCCTTATCCCCATACCCCAAAAGGTACGCTAAAGTGCAATTCCAGCTCTAATCATCCTTAAACCATGTTCCAACTTTCTGGAGTTTACTGTAAGGATTGCCGTGCCTTCGTGGGCGGCAGGACTTCCATCCAGGCTTGCCCCTGAGCTGCTCTAGTGTCTTGCCAGCTGAGATCTGGACAATTGCTGTGTCACTACAGTTGCAGGGTCCCTCCGCCGGAGTCCTTGTGTTCAAGAGGCCTTGCAAGAAGGACCCGCCCAAATTTGCAGAAGTGCCCAACTGTTGAGGCCAGCACTGTTGGACAGGGCTGGCCACAAACTTGCCGTCAACCCTTTAAAAGATCCCCGGCTACCAGAAGAGAAACTTCGATGGGCAAAGCAACAGCATCCCAAACCTCGACCCGGGTTGTCCTACCCACAAGCTTCCAGTCAAGGCGCACAGAGCAAACGAGCAGATGCCAGACATACGGCGACCCAGCACAGGAGTGAACCTGACAGAAAAGCTGGCATGCTGTCTTGAACCTCTCTGATAGCCTGGCAGGCCATGCTCATCTCTGTGTTGACTGACGCCAGTCGTTGACACATTTGTTGAGCACTGGAAAAACCCACACCAGCTGTGCGAGCAGTGCGCCTCTGGACTGCCTGCTTCCGACCTGCGACGAGAGGGGTATTTTATGACCAACGGCGACGGTGTTTTCCTGCATGTCCATGCAGCACCACAAAATGATTCCAACTCGACTCACGCTGCACCCAGGAGCTGACTAAATTCAACCTTTAGCTTCTGACTTGTGAGGACGTTGTTTCATGAGAGAAGCAGAAGGCAGGTCACGCAGGTCCTGCAAAGACCCGCTCTGTGGAAGGGGGGCCAGGGTGGGAGACGGGAAGGCTGGGCTGTCTGTTTAGAGAGGACGTGGTTCAGATCAGCGGCCCCGATTGCCTTTTTGTGATTGTTTGTTCACACCGCCTACACTTCGTCAGCTTCGTCAGTCCAGAACCATGCCGCTGACGAGGTGAAGGCCGGTGAAGGGCCCACAGCCCATGAAAAACAACTGGTTGGGCAGCCTTTGGGGAGGCTGCTCATTGCTTTTACATGTGCCTTTCCCCCCGAGCACCAGGACTGGTTCAGCCTGATCACCCTGTCGCTTGCCTACTGCCGGCTTCGTGGCCTTCCGATTCGACGCCGCTGCTCCCGCCATTGCAGCAGGAGCTCAAGCACGGTACTGAATGGTCTGCTTCGGTCACTCTGCTACAACCTGGTCAAAGAGTCAAAGAAGATGTCGCCGCGCAGGGCTCTCGGGCTCTCCACAAAAGCGAGCACACAATCGTGTGGTCATGTTCTGAGCTGCGAGCCGGAGCTAGGCAGGCCATGTCTTGTGCCAATACAAGATACCGTCAATGCATTGCCTCACAGCCTAGAGGACAAGTGCCTGGGTGATCGCTTTTGCTTGTTGGACGCAACCCATAGTCTGGAACCTCTGCTCCCTCACCGTCGGGATCGGCTCCAGCCTAACACTTCAGGACATCTAATTTAATTCGTACGAAGACAGGTGCAGCTTGCGAGAAGCTCGGTATGCCCAAGAAAGACAAACTCTGGCACATCCCTCTCCTATTTACTCTCGGGACCTTCCTGGGAAACCTAGCCAGGAGAAGAGCAAAGCATCGACATGTGACAAAACATCTCCGCATGCATGTCCGCAGAGATTACTCACGCACCTTTGCACTGTTCTCAAAGGCGAACGACCAGATTGACTGCCATCTGAAATAGCACACTGGCCTAGTGATGAAGAGATGCCGGGGCGCCTGTGGAGTCGCGCTTGCGGCCAACCGCCTGCTGAAATTTTTTCCAAGAATGATACCTTCTTGGTTTCAGGGCTTAGGGTCCTGAAGACTAGATTCACGACGAGGCAAGAGACTTGCCAGTGTTGTTAGAAGCGAGCTAACGTGCCGTATGCAACGCATCGTCAGCCAGAGGATGGGAAACTGTTCGGCATGGATCTGATAAAACAAAACGCCGACTTGCGATTGCGTATGATTGCCTGACACACGACGCCAAACTTCTAGCATCATTCTAGCATCTGTCGGCCTCGGAGAAGTCCTGCGAGAAAGGTCCAAGCCCGTTGCGCCGCCTTTTGGCAGGCCTCATGGAAGGGCACATTCTGAACCAGAGTAGATGCCAATTGCACCTCGACTCAAGACCCTGCAAAGCGCTGCGACACAGCCGCCTTTCCGCATCAGCGAGCTCCTGGTGAGCCTGACATGTACTTCGGAAACACCTCTTTCGTCAAAATGACGGGACTTTAGTCCGGAGATGTCGGCAGCACAGCATCGCAAGGAACTCACCCCCACTGCGGCAGCCCAACGTTGCCTTGCGAATACGGCCCATGCAGCACGCGGATGTGTCCTTAGATGCAAACTCAACAAGGGCCCAGGCATCCGACAAAGTCACGGTGTAGTCTCTGCCGCTGCGCCTTGTTCCCTGCAAACGCATCCCCCATTCAAACGCCAGGGGCACAGTACCCCCACAAGCGAATGTGGGAAAGATGGGGCTGGATTTGGGGTTCCGATTGGTTCCACACACACACACACAGCCGAGATCCACTTGCCAAGAATTTAGCTTCAAAGCATGCAACTGGTCCCCGACACCCCCAGAATGCTTGACTTGGACACAAAATACATAAACTCTTGCGTCTAGCTTGTGTTCCATGGACGGTGGCATGCAGTGTCCAGGAATCCTGGAAGTTCATAGGCAGACTCTGGTCAAAATCCACAAAAGATCGAAGCCTTATATCACAGTTGAGTCACGCGAGCTCCTTCTAGACCTCCGCCTGAATCAGAACTTGGTGACATGGCTCTGCTCTGACGGCCCTACATGGCCCGACCACCGCCAGTCCACTGCCCTACCCGAACCTGGCAAGTAGGGTCCCTTTTCGTGTCATTCCTTCCTACGCGCCCTCGGCGCCCTCGGATACGAAGCCAGGCTCTGAGATATGTCGGAGCCCCGCCTTCGTCTAAACATGTCGACTGTAGACATGTGTAGAACTTAAGAACCCATTGTAGGCTTGGCATGTCCAAGCCCGGCCTCCGAGGACCGCTTCTTGCACCTCCGAGGACTCCGCGCGGAGCGTGTTGGCTGCCCGCTCGCTCAGCGCATACTCCTGCCACGAGGGTGACTGCTACTGAGTTGCTACTGCATATCATACTCCTCTCAACCTTACACAACGGCCTTATGACCTCGAACGAGGTAAAATACTGAGAGATGCAACCTGGCCAGGCGGACCCTGACGAACCTCTCCACGTCCGAACGCAGCCCCGCATCTTCCCAGCCACATCCTCCTCAGAGAAAGTGGCGGGCGAGATGAGGGTGTAGCAAAGGCTCCACCAGACTGACGTGTGGGATGTAAATCTGAAGGAACCGCCGAGCAGGGCCCGCCTCCACTTTTGTAGAAGCCAGTGCCTCGGGACTGCGCCTCACCAAGCCAAGATCAGATCACAGATGACAGCAGCCATCCCCTCCCCCCTGTCAAGAGGCGCCTCCTCGTCGCGCCTTCTTTTGTGGGGACCTCCCCTGTCAACAGGATGAACCGAAGCGTTGCGCATGGCCTCGCTGCTGCTCTGTGCAGACACTTGGCCGTGAATCAACTTAACGCTGTGTCGCGACACTCTGTTCTTTCATGTTTAGATGTCACGGGCCGGTCTTGAAACCTCATTGCAAAGGAGCAGAGGGGCTGTCACGTACAGAATGGCTTCATTGCAAACCGGATTGAGAAAAGCCGTTGGGGGCCCGTTAACCTTAGAGTCCAAGCCAATGAAAGGCCAAGCCGCTGCTCAGGGTTCAGGGCGCTGATACAGCATCATAGTTATAGTCATAACCCTTTGTCAGAACTACAACCCCCGCATGCGATCAACCAGGCATGGTACTCTCCCTCAATGAGAGCCAATCACCACAAGCACGAAATTTAAACCTTCCCTCGCTCCCATACATATCCGTACATCTCAGCTCAGACGGCTTGGAAGGGCTACAGCTTCTTCATGCCCCCATCCCACTGACAGCTGCAAGCTCAGTTCAGGACCTCCTGGGCCTCACAGGCAGAATATGATTCACATGTCTGGAAGACGAAGACATGAATCTTTTCCAGACAAGCTTCAAAGCCGTTATGACAGAACTGCACCACACTGCCGGCAGAAATGCTCTCGCAAGGGGCACCTGTATTTCACACTCTAAAGCGACGTGAAACACATGGGGGGGGGTTCATGCACTCCGATTCAGTGGAGTGGCTCTGGTGCAGTCTTTCAGGCCTAGTCAAAAGGCTACTGATAAGCGAAATTGTGACTTCTCCGAAGCTACGCCGCCTAGGCCAAGGTTCCCAAGTCAAGTGTCCCGTGTGTCCCCGAGAATTCCTAACTCTCTCCATTACTCTCCGAGCTCCCGCAGTTCTGCGGCCTTCTTGATCCGGCCGATGCAACCGGCACTCGGATCTCGGCAGCCCTGGAGACTGCCCTGCCCAGTCAAGAACTACCAACCCAAAAAAAAAATCTCAGACTCGGACGCAAAGACTAGAACTGAGGCACACCCTCGACACTAGTCACTACCCTGCCTTGTCCAACACTGCTCTCTGCACAGTAGCTGGAACCTGAGACGTGTAACCCCTGCAACCCTGCATCTGATTTCAGGCACGGCATGTCATGTCTTATGCCGCAGGCGCAAATGAATGCCATCACTTGGAGGAGACCTGCAGCAGAAAGCAGAAAGCGCGCCTCGTACAGTATGGCGGTTGCACGCTCACCTGCGCCGTCGGGGCTACCACTCTCCACACTGCCACAAAGCAAAGAACCGCCCGAGTTGTACGGAGGCTTCAAAGTGAACAGCCCTGAGCTCTGCTCTGCACCATCCTGCTTGGTACAAACATGCACCTGGACTTGAGACGCGCGCCCGTCTAGCACAGCTCTCAGCAAAAACCCGGTACCTTTGCTCCTCTTTTTCAGAAGGGACTTTTGATGCCTGCCTACCGATATTCCCTTACTCAGACTTGCCAGGGCGCCCAGGCTGTTCTGCTCGACAAAGTCTGACAGCTCGTCTGCTGAGGGTGCCTCCCAGTCATGCTTGGACCACATGTCGGTGCAATGGCTAAGGCTATTGCATGAAGCCTGGATGCTGACATCCTCCGTCACCTGCGTGGTCCTCCTCGGCACGACGTGCCAAGAGATTCAAGAGAGTAAAATACTACATTAGAGGTCTGGTCCGCAGAGGGATCCGACCGTAATTACGAACAAGCCACCACAGGTGCAACCTTCTAGAAGCCTCCGAGGCACTGCGCCTTGGAGATGCGGCCAATGCAGCCCGCGCTCGGCTCGCGGCAGCCGCGCAGGCTCCCTTGCTCCAGGACCTGGGCTTCTGCACGAGAAACCCCCCTCTCGAGAAGACCCTGTGAGTATGTGCCTCATACGTTGGCGCGGGGGGCTTGAGTTGGTGTGTCCCTAGAAACCTCTTGGAGTCCCTGGGCTGAAGCAAGAAAAATAAGCGCAAGCATCAAGCTCTGCCCGCCTGCTTCTGGATGACTGTCGGGATGCTCCGCAGCGCGTCAGCAGCCCGCTCGTTCAAGTCGTTCTCCTCAATGAACCTCTTCGACTCTTTGAACGCTCGTGCTCGTGCGGCCCGATTCCGGCTCTTTGCCAAGATGTGGTTGGCGGGGTGTGTTTGGACCATGTAACATGTCGAATTCCCTTCCTGAACCTTGCAACATCCAACCTCATGAGCTCCTAGTCCTAGGCTGTGTCACCCGCTGGTGCCCCGGTGGGGCTAGGGGGGGGGGGGGGGGGGGTGGGGGGAGGGTTGGTTATGTGCTTTTCCAACTGCACGTTTCAACCTTGAATCCCTCAACCCACAACCCTACAGCCTCACGTTAAAGCTCCAGGTCCATGCCGGCCTCCGTAAAGCCCAAACCCTAACCTCCGAAGCCGAAACCTGCAAGCTTAAACCTAAAGCCTAAAGCGTAAACTCTGAACCCGAGACCTTCAAGCTAAGACTCCGCACCCGAATCCCCAAAGTTTGAAGTAGGAACCAGAAAGCCTCAAAGTAAACGTGTCTTGGCTGTACTGGCGGCCTTCACATAGAAGCAAATTTAGAACTTGGAACTTATGCTTCGAGGAATTGCCCGGCCCGATTTCTAGTTTTGTGCATTGTGGTGGCTGCGGCGATTGACGGTGAAGCAGTTTACATCCCGAACTGTTTGGCTGAAAGGCGAAACCGTGTTCAGAAGGATGTTCGCAAGCAGTGAAGTACCTTACACCCTCAACAGGTTAACGCGGAAACCGCGTTCATGAGAGCGCTGGCCAAGTGAGAATATTGAACAGGAGGTGGTGGGGTTTCCGGTTCTCAAACTGAGTATGTCTTCTATGCTACCTGATTCATCGCGAGTGCCAGTGCTTTCCTGTTTTATCATACAACTACTTCAGACCACAACAAGCACGCTACCATAACACGTCCTGCAAGGACACAGCTGACCCACAAAATCTGCGGGCAAACGTGGGGGGGGGCAAGTCCTAGTCTCAGCCATTCTGCAGCCCCAGGCGCTGCTCTACATCGGCCTCCTGGGGAAGCCATTTCGCGGCAGAGTTGTCATAGTGCTGGCTTCGCTGGCTGCGCTGGCTGCCGTGGCCGCTGTGGCCGCCGCCATGGTTGCCGCCGTGGCCGCCATGGCTGCCGCGGCCGCCATGGCCGCCGTGGCTGCCGTGGCCACCATGGCCGCCGTGTCCGCCGTGGCTGCCGTGGGCCTTCCTTCGCAACTACAGGGACCAAACAGTTCACATGCTTGGTCCGAATGCACCGGCATGCACCGCCACAGCATCAGTTGCGGCCATGGAGTCCATGGAGGAACTGATTCAATCTTGGTGGCCCTGGCGATGCGGCCGATGCAGCCTCCAGGGTACCGGAAACCCTCTTCCAAGAGCAGAGTCGGCACTGTTTGGCTCGCCCTGCTATGCTCGGTCTCTGTGTCTGTCTACTGTCAGTCTGTGTCTGTCCTTGTCTTTCTGTGTCTCTCTGTGTCTGTCTGTGTCTCTGTGTCTCTCTGCGTCTGTCTGTGTCTCTCTGTGTCTGTATGTGTCTCTCTGGGGTGGATGGCGTGCACAACTGTCACCAAGCTGTTCATGTGACCTCCGGGCAGAGGATCGATGATAGGCCCGTGCCTGCACTGGGCTCGCGGCATGTAGCCAGGCTCCCCTGTGACAGCACCTGGGATGCACTATGCGTCTGACATAGAATATCATAGAGCGACTGGAGGATTTGGACTTTCTCCAGGGCCCTGCCAGAGCTTTGGATTTGGATTCACTTTGCTTGCCGAGCTGCATGCATCTGTATGTCCGGGGCGACCCCCCCTTAGTTTCGACTGAGTCATACAACCATGGCCAACTTAAACGCTTGTGATGTGGCTGCCAAGGGAAGGATGGGACCAACAAGTTGTAGCTCGTGCATTTTGCTCTGTATCAAGTCATGCGACTTGGAGGGGTGGCCGCACTCTTTCAAACGCCAGGAATCTAAGCGCTTCTGCAGCCCGGTCGTTCAGCTGGTTGTCGGAAATGAAATCCTCCACGTCATCAGCAGTCGGAGGCTCAGAGTGGCTGGGTGGACCTGCCATCTCAGTGCTCATTCTGCGATGCAGGCCACACCGACATGGAGAATCGATGGTGAGAACTGAGACGTCAAAACCCTGGCAGCGAGGCCCCGCGCTTGTGCATGAGTTGGACGTGCAACCTCTGAGCAAGCTGAGGAACCCAACTCATAGCGAGGCACGAATTTCGGCAAATGAAATCTCTTGTCCGACGCCTGCTGGACCTCTTCGAAGGCAGGGTACAGAGCAGCCTCATCAAGCTGCTGTTACTTGTCACACTTGTCATCTGCTACGCGCACGCCATCTCCAATCACAGCATCTCACTGGCTCACCATCCCTCGCTAGGTGCCACCCTGCATGGCCTCAGCTTTTCGTATCCGGCCAACGCCTGCAAGTGGGACTTTTTCTGATTCTGCGCATATCCCTATACACTGAGTCGTTCTTGGTAGGCGGGAATATCTTCAAAAAAGTGGATCGATCGCCCCCCCCCCCCCCCCACTTGTAAGACTATCCAAGGTACACACGAATATAGGAGAGGCTGGACACCATAAGCCAGCTGATGCAATTCAGATTCAGGTGGGGATGCCATACAGTTACAGCTTGTCGGGCTTAGTTTTCGCACGCTCGGGATGCCGCCCAGGCAGAAAGCAAAATGCACCAAAGCAGAGCTCCTTCCCACCAAAAAAGAGAGTCATATCCAATCTTAGTAACAATCAACAGCAGGCCTTCCCTTTGCCTCACACACGATTTAGCTGCAAGCATGACTGTACCTGCCATGAATGCATCCGACGTATCTATGCATCTCGCAGCCTGGAAACCGTAACTATTGTCCTTCCCCCGTTCTTCCAACGCAGTGCAACTTAGCAACTGCGTTTGCCCGGTCTCTCCTAGTCCAGTGCTTTCCCGGCACTCGAGCCGGTCTTCAATTTGATTGCTGCAACAAGACGTGCCCTCACCCAGAACGTTGGTTTTTTGATCGTTTGCGCATAGATTTTCGTCCTGCTTGCAGGGGAGGTACAACCAGCGCTTGGTTCCCTGCACGTGGCCAGACTGCCCTTCTCCATCACCTGGCATCAAATCTTTGTAGAAGTAAAGCAGTTGCTTAATAAACGTCAGTTCAGTTGCTCGCAACATATGTCTTGCAAGTCTTATAGGGGTCGATTTCTTGTGCTTGCGTAACACCAGGACATGCTTAATCCAACATATGACAAGACCCTAGGAAACACAACTTGAAAATACATCACAAATCGACCATATGTTGAATTGAAGTTTCTTGGTGTTGTTCGTGGAAATATCCAAACACTAACAGCGATGCTTACGAGTTTTTACAAGAACTCTCAAACCCATTTAGAGTTGCTTGAGCAGGGCGGATGAAAGCCAGTACTCCGGAATTGCAAGCAAGTGCGTAGGAAATCTGGGGAGGATTCAGGCTTCGTATGGCTTGTTGGCTTGCAACGGCTTAGGTGCTGGGTTTGCCGCGATTGTGCCCCAATCCAAGAAGGTCGAAAACAAGAACTCCCGAACCCTGGCCGCGCCTGGCGCTGCACTTCTGGGGCTGTGCTTCGAAGGGCATTGGCCGCCCGGGCGTTCAAGTCCTTGGTGCCAAGTTCCAAGGCGCTCGGGTCTTCTCTTCAGGTTCCAGGGCTGCTGGATTAACGTTCCCAGCCAGCGCCAGCCAATCACCCGGGCTTCAAACTGGGTTTGGCACAGGTTTTCGGGAACCACACCCTGGGAAGGGACGTAAGGTCTGGGATAAGAGGAGCCGGGTCCATACGTCGCTGCACTTAGAGGACCAAGCTCTGCAACCCCACTCGTGCAAACATGGACGACGCCAGCTTTAATGTCAGGCGACGTTGTCCGAAATGAACTGCTCTATCATATCGGGGAGCGGCTCCAGAATTGGCAGGGTGGGCTCAGCCCAGGCCTGCGCGCAACCAAGCTCTCCAGCGGGCGCTGAGAAGTTGAAGACTCAGATACTGGCAAGGCTCGATACTATGTCGCACCTTGGGGGGGGGGGGGGGGTGGCCTACAATAATTGACTGCAATTTGAGTGCCCACCCTGGCTATCTTATCACGACGGGCTGGCCTCGTCAAGACCATTATCGGCATCCTTGGATATCAGTCATTCCCGCAACCCCGTAACCCATGTGTCAGCCCGCATCCTCTTGTCTGCTTTACGAGTATCTCTTGAAAGACTGCCTTGTCAAAGCGATACTTACTGAACAGCCAGGGCACGAAAATGCAAAGCTGTGTTTTTAAAGCTCGCTGATCATTGGCCGGGCAGCCCAACGGGACGACTCCTGGTCGTAGCTCGGTGGCGTCCTCCTTGGCGCTAGGACAGGGTGCGTTGGCCTAGTTTTTCCAGCTCGCCATACCACAACACCGTACAACAACACCTCGATCACCACATGCTGGGAATTCGGACTCCGAAGCTCATCACAGTCGAGTCGCTGATGTCTTTTGGGCCGGACGCGGGCAACCTGGAAAGCAATTGGGGCCAAATCATGCCCGCAGAGCCTCTCGCCTTCTCTGACCCTCCGCATTCAGAGTTCAACGCCCTGGGCCCCTCCCATATCTCAGACCGAGGTGCTAAGCTGGGGACACCGGCAGCGGGATTGGGCAATTTCGGAATTTCGGCTAGTGCACTTGTGGATGTGCAAACTCAGCCAGTGCCCCCTTGTCATCACACAAATGTTTGTACGGTATTCACAATCTGCATCGCGCGCAGCATGTACGGCGCGCCACTTTGACGTCAAGGACCCCTCCCCTTGCACCAGAGCTCCATTCATCGAGCAATCTCAACGTAAGCAGGGCTGGCTCGGCAACATGTTGTACTCAAGCCCTTGTTCTACATGCATCACGTTCCACTCCCCAGCCATGACCCCACTGTATTCCATCACTCTGGACGCATCTTCGAAAGCCAAACCTCTCGACAGACCTGTACTCATGCCCAGGCAGACAAGATGACCCGGTCTTGTGGGCTCTTGGGCTCTTGCTGCTGGCTCTGCCATCTTCCAAAGCCCCTCCACAACCTTTCTCAGACCTTTTCATTCTAACATGGACGAGGCACATCCTCTTGTGCTGGCGTCTGCGCCCTTCGAAGGCCTCAAAGTAGATCAAGGCTGAAAGCAGCCCACCCAACAAAAATCTTGTAGCCGGCACCGTTTCTAGCAGATCCCCAGAAGCTGCAAGAGCTTGATTTTCAGCATGCTTGTTCTTCGCTCTTACCTCATCCACGTTACTTCCCTTGCTGCTGTGGCCTGCGACCCCAACGGAAAGAACTAAAACGTGAAGCCGTGGCTCGGCCAATGCAGCCAGCGCTTGGATCTCTGCAGGTGCGGAGGCTGCCCTTGCATCGGAGTCGTGCCAAGGACTTTGCACATAGATACGCTTCAGCCTACGCCAGCATGTGTTCAGCAAACTTTCCAGAACAACTTGAGAAATGTCGAAGCAATTTTCGTTACATCTTACCTTCCACCCCACGCCGGCATCCCTTGTTCAAGAATGAAACACAGGCAACACTGCTACACCGCATCCCCACGAGCCTGCTCCATAACTTTCTGCTGCACCCAATAAGCTGCCCCACGAAGAGCATGCGCGGCTCGCTCGTCCAGGCGGTTGTCCTTGTCAACAGACATATCGGTGCCATCACGGAGCGGAAACCTCCCCCAACTGCTGGGAAACAAGCCCTGCTTGAATCGGAGAAACGACGAGACCTAGATTCCTAGATGGAGCGAGTCAACTGAGTCATCCAAAGTCTCCACTACGAAGCGCTCCACGTCGTCGAGTGGCACATCGATGTGTCGCACTGCCTTAGGGTGCAAGGTTTGGTGTCCAGCCACCCCCTTGAACTCTCCCACCACGCAGCACTGGGCCCAGTGACGTGAAGTGATGGATCCATTTGCTTCTGCGCTCTGCCGATTCGACCGATACCTGAGCACTTAGTCCGGACCAGCACGGGCAACTTCAATCAGAAACGAAGTGCGCACGACCTTGCCCGTGCATGTCGCAGACAACAAGTCTCGCAACATCTTGCAACTTGGCAGCAGCCAGCGCTGGGTTCTCGGCAGCTCCGCAAGCTACCCTGAAATCTGAAGAGGATGCATGGAAGCCGCTTAGCCCCTTTCTTCGCATGCATGTGCGCAGGGCTGAGGGTCATACTGCGGTACACATCCTACCGCCACAGCGACTCAAGTGACTGTGTGTGTCCAGCCTGCTCCAGCACTTGACGCTGCACGGCTGGGGGAACGCCTGAGACTTTGAAACTGGCGCGTGCAATACGCAAGATGCAACAAGTCGGGCAAGATCAGCAATTCGGGTGCAGTGACCATGAAGACCTAGACCTCAACCATTTTTTCCTACGTGCATGTATTTTTTTGGCTACAGAGCAGAGAACTAATTTGCATCTGCGAGCATCAGGCACGATGAGGCTAGCACAAGGCTGGTGCTGGCCGCACCGTGCACTCGTACAACCAAAGCAGTCACGTCCCGAGAATCTTAGAGTCTCAGAGCAAAGCCCTCAACGTGGGTACTGTTGGAAACCACGGAAACCACGCCATCCTCGGAGCGCTTCCGCCGCGCGCTCGTTTAGCTCGTTCTCTTCCACGAAGAACTCGATTTCCTGGGGTGCAAGGGCTTAGGGTTCAACAGCTTGCTGGGAGAGCGTCCCAACAAGAGCAAGCAGCAACGAGCCCCCCAAGGGGCTCTCATGCAGCCCGAACCGAGAATCATCCCTCGTTGGCGGAACAAACTGCGCTGGCATTGCATCTCCGAACGCCTGGCAGGGGGTTGCAACAAGTTGCAATGCTACAGTTGGAACTCTGGCGACAGCTGGGGACTCAGAGGGCTTCCAAAGAACACGACCAGCCTGTGCTCGGTTGATTCGCGAGAGGCACCCTCCGTTTGGATCGCGGCAGGTATGAAGGCTTCCCTGAGCGTACAACGGGCAGCCACTTGCGCGCAAAATCTACACACAAGAGGCTCTTATTGACAGGTGCCAGGTGTACGTTGGTGAAGCTTATACCGCCCGCAGGTGCTGAAAGCGTCGTCTGAACTCGCAATGATGAGTAGTTCTGCCTGGGGCCCGTGGGCATTAAGGACCTCAAAGAGTTCCCGAGTTCCCAGCCCACACTTGACAACTACCCTTCCCTCTTCCGCCACTGCCTCTGTAGCTTGGAACCCTAAGTCTTTCTCCAAGGCTTAGTAGCGAGAATGTAGAACTGTCACGTCACGCCTATTGTCGCCTGTGTAGGAGAGGCGTAGGATGTCTAACATGCGCCCTACACGGCAGGAAGGCGGATCAGCGCCTGCTCGAGCACGTGCCGTTGCACGGGCGGCGGTGCAGAGCGGAGGGCGGCTGCAGCTTTGCCACTGAGGTAGTTCGCACCTGGAAGATGATGCAAGCGCATTGACTGTGCTGTAGATTCTTCTGCAGCCTGCGGCACGTGCACGTCAAGGAAACACATCTCAGGCAAAGCACTGATGAAGTCCTCCACCAAGACCTGCGAAAACAAGAGAAGTGCAGAGTCAAGCTGCCCTGCTTCTGAAATGCCAGCTGGCAGCTTTCAGTTGCTAGCCCCATCGCTGCATATCACTGCATATCACGGCCCAGAATTGCCATAATTGGTGGTGCAGCTGCAATTCAGAGTCACGGAGAGTCACGGAGAGTCACGGAGAGTCACGGAGAGTCACGGAGAGTCACGGGGAAACTGGGGCACCCAGAGGCCTCCTCAGGGGCGCTCCTTTGCAGCCTCTCCGCCTCCACGCACGTGAAGCGCGCGACTTGGCTTCTTCTGCTACTTGTGCTTTGGGAGTCTGAGGTTCAGTGGGGTCGAGGTGGGGTCCAGTGTAATTAGAACGATGTCTTTCATGCTTCCATATGCTTCCCCCTTCCTCCTTGTCTGACCGTCCCAGCATCTCCGCCTTGCGAATGCGGCCGACGCATCCCGCAGACGGGTCTCGGCATGTCCGCAAACTCCCGCCCTGGCAGGTGCAGTGCGCCATGCACTCTTTGCATTCTTTCTCATACCCTTGGACCGCATGGGGGGGGCCCTCCATGAAAGTCTGAAAGTCTGAAAGCCTGAAAGTTCAATGCAAGGGCCGGCTTGCTGATTGGGAAGCTTGTCACAGGCCAGAAGCTAAAAACACACGCAATGGCTGCAGAAGGCTGTGGTTTCAAAGCCCTTCACAAGCGAACCCTCCCATCTCAAGACGTCTCTCCTCCAGAACGGCGTGCTGGATGCTGGCAGGCGCCTCACGCAGCAAAGCTGCCTTGGTGAGTCGGGTAATGCAGTACGGAGAGCCAGGCCGGGAAGAGAAAGGAAGGGAGCGCCCACATGCGCCCGCCATCAACTCTCACAAGCTGGCAACTCCAAGAGCCGTCCAAGCAGCGGCTGTTTCATCCACATTGTTCTCTTCCTGGGGTTAAGGGGATAGTAAGACAAAACGTGCTTTTTCACCAAAATAGAAGGGGCCCAGGTTCGATGAAATGCTCCACCTCCCCGTTGTCGCTGAACATGTCGGCATCAAATTGCCATGTGAATTCTTAAGGTGGGGGGATGTGCTGTAGTCATATGTTACCTCAGGCTCTGGGCATGTGGCTTCCACGTCTACTCCGTCACTACACATGTGAGGCTGTTTACTCAGCAACTGGTTGGTTGTAGAGGCTACGGTGGGGGGTGGGCTGCAGCGGGCCATTCTTGGAGGGCTTTTCCAAGGGATGGCCTCGCCAGGGTTGAACGTTGCTTCTAGTGGCTGAGGGCTTTGTTTTCTATGCAGCTCTTGGGACTCGGGCTTGACGAGGCTTTGAAGGACCCTGTAAAGTAAGCTGCTGTCCATGGCAACACCTTGCTGAAGCCGGAGCTGTGCAGAGACACTTCTGATTCTGACATGCTTTGACAACGCCTAAAGTGACTCCACTGGAGCTCCCATGAAAACAGTCATCGAGTCGTCCTCTTTGTTTCTTGACGGTGCCACGCGCTCTGGGATCAGCCGGTCGGGCGCTGGTTGCACCAGGTCCTCCAACCTGCCGCTTTGCTGATGATGGTCAGGGCCGCGTGCCGCATGGGGACAGAGGCAATGCCCGTCGGAGAGCCACCACTTGCCTGACACACGCCGTCGGATCTTGATTCTGAGTGCACGTGATGAGGCCCAGGATGTTCCCGTGAATGTCAGCGAGCATCGCATACGAAAGCAAGTCCCTCAACCACCGCTCGCCATAATGCTCACAGTGGTTCCAGTCCCGTGTCTCATTCAGATTGGAGGACTCGTGTGCTGACCTCGTCGCTTCAGAAAGAGGTCCACCCGAGCAGCCAGCTTAAAGGAGTCCTCCACCTGAGCATGCTACTTATCACTACTGCCACTACTTCCAGTACTTGTGCCCTGCTTACTCCCAAGCAATTGGTCCTGAAGATCTGAGGTGATCCGAGCTGGCAAGGGGCAGGGTCAGCTGGCTCAGCTGCTGCCGCCGGCTTTTCATCTCCTTCTTGGGGGGGGTACTTGTACTGGCCGTGAGCTTGAAACACGACCCTATGCTCCACACAGCAAGAGTCAAGAGTTCCAAGCAGATGCTCCAAGTTCCAAGGTCCTGCGCCTGGCGGGGGTGGGGGCCGCGGCGGAGGCGGCAGCATGCCGTGAAGTTCATCCAGCAAGTCGTCCAGTTGACCTGCGGTGCACTATCGGCCGCCGCACGCTCATCTACAAGCGCAAGATTCGCTGAGCAGCTTAAGAACATTTAAGAACACATCCACGACACACAGATCTTAGCATCGGGAAAGGCAACTTGATTTGCTGCATCTTTTGGGTTCTTTAGCAACTGGCACTCGCAAAGAGGAACATCCCTTAGCCTTCCTGCCTCGTTCCACAGTGTTACTCTCATGTCTGGTTTTCTGCAAACCATCCCATAACTGTTCTGCTGTGACCTCAGTCTGCACACACTCCATTCCAGCCAAGGTTGCACGGATTGGGAGATGTTTCTGGAATCTCTGCAGCCGCGACTCATAGCTGCCCAGCGATGCTGTCGCCAACGCTTCCACGTCTCTGCTGGGGATCCGCTCGCCAGTGATACTGTCGAGTACCTCCTCGCTTCGAACGGATGCCAACAGAGCGATGGCATCGCCCCAGTCGCTGCCAGTTCCGGTGGGCATCTGCGGCGCTGGCACGGTGAGCCCTGGCGTGCTGACATGCTCAGCCTGCTCAGCCTGGCAGAGCTCACCCAGGCGGGCATGCGACAAGAGGTTGGACGACAAGCTTTCGTTGAAGGAAGCTGCTGCCAGTGTCCCGGCAGCCTCGAAAGAGAAACTGTCCCACAAAGGCTCACTCAGAAGCTGGCACGCGCTGGGCCGCTGCGTGGGGTCCTTGTCTAGCAACCGCGCGACGAGCTCAACCAAGGGAGCGGAATAGCCTCCAAGCTGCAGGGGTTCGGGATCATGGGTGTTGAATGCGATCTGGTAAACGAGAGCCAGGACGTTGGAACCACAGAAAGGCAACTTCAGGGCCATGAGCTCGTACAGGACGACACCGATGGCCCACATGTCTACAGCCGACGCGTAGCGCTGATTCCAAAGAAGTTCGGGGGCCATGTACGCAGGAGTGCCCACGCAGCCCGATGCCGACTTTCCACTTTTCAGCGCGGTTGAGATTCCGAAGTCTCCCAGCTTGCACGTCCGCCACGTGTCCTTTAGGAACACGTTCATTGCTTTCAGGTCCCTGTGAATGATTTCCTTCTGGTGGACATGGTCCAAACCCCTCAGCATCTGCTGAAGCCAGCTGAGGATCAGGACTTCCTCTAAGTGCTTCCCGGTCTGGCCCGCAGCTTGCACCGGCACACGCAGGTCGCCGTTCTCAGCGCACTCCATGACAAGCGTCAGGCGTCCCGAGTCAGGGCCAGCACCTATCCACCAGCTCTCGATGTACTCGATGATGCCTGTGCACTCTGCGCGCTGTGGATGCTGTGCATGCTGTGCAGGCTGCGTGTGCTCTGCATATGCTGCGCGTGTTGTGCATGCTGTGCATGCTGGGCAATGCTGCCTCAATGATGACATTGTTACATCCTCAGCCTACAGAATCACTCGGCTTACATATCAACGCGAAGCCGCAAAGCCGTGAAGCCCCTTCTCCTCCCAGTCAAGCTGCTCTCGTGCCGTAAGCTTTTCAGGATCTGTATCTCCTTGAGAGCGCGCAGGCGGCCCTGCGCGTCCAGGCCGCGAAGGGCGATGGCCTTGACCACAAACTGCCGCTCTGGCAAGCCCAGCCGATGCACCACCATCACCGTCGCCGTGGTGGAGCCCCCGAGGCGGCGGAGTGGCTGGTAACCATGCGATTCGAGGGAGATCTCCGCAGCCATCCTGTGAAGCGAAGCCGCAAAGGCCACATCTTCAGCGGCACGGGCTAGATTCGCCTCGGCCTCCTCATAGACTTGTGGAGCCGGGCTGACACCACAAGCTTCTTGTGGCTCCTCTAAACAGGGCACCGGCGGAGGCGGCGGCGGTGCTGGTGCAGGCACATCAGATTTGGAGCTGCCTATGGATCTCAACAGCTCCTCGAAACGATCAAGGGAGATGGCGTCACTTTCTTCTCTGGTACGCAAGATTTCCTCCCAAAGCTTGACGTCCGACACCACACTCCCCAGCGACTCAGCAGTAGCCAAGGTCGCAGGTACCATCCCGGACATGTCAGTACCCATCGATGCCAACAGAGCGATGGCATCGCCCCAGTCGCTGCCAGTTCCGGTGGGCATCTGCGGCGCTGGCACGGTGAGCCCTGGCGTGCTGACATGCTCAGCCTGCTCAGCCTGGCAGAGCTCACCCAGGCGGGCATGCGACAAGAGGTTGGACGACAAGCTTTCGTTGAAGGAAGCTGCTGCCAGTGTCCCGGCAGCCTCGAAAGAGAAACTGTCCCACAAAGGCTCACTCAGAAGCTGGCACGCGCTGGGCCGCTGCGTGGGGTCCTTGTCTAGCAACCGCGCGACGAGCTCAACCAAGGGAGCGGAATAGCCTCCAAGCTGCAGGGGTTCGGGATCATGGGTGTTGAACGCGATCTGGTAAACGAGAGCCAGGACGTTGGAACCACAGAAAGGCAACTTCAGGGCCATGAGCTCGTACAGGACGACACCGATGGCCCACATGTCTACAGCCGACGCGTAGCGCTGATTCCAAAGAAGTTCGGGGGCCATGTACGCAGGAGTGCCCACGCAGCCCGATGCCGACTTTCCACTTTTCAGCGCGGTTGAGATTCCGAAGTCTCCCAGCTTGCACGTCCGCCACGTGTCCTTTAGGAACACGTTCATTGCTTTCAGGTCCCTGTGAATGATTTCCTTCTGGTGGACATGGTCCAAACCCCTCAGCATCTGCTGAAGCCAGCTGAGGATCAGGACTTCCTCTAAGTGCTTCCCGGTCTGGCCCGCAGCTTGCACCGGCACACGCAGGTCGCCGTTCTCAGCGCACTCCATGACAAGTGTCAGGCGTCCCGAGTCAGGGCCAGCACCTATCCACCAGCTCTCGATGTACTCGATGATGCCTGTGCACTCTGCGCGCTGTGGATGCTGTGCATGCTGTGCCGGCTGCGTGTGCTCTGCATATGCTGCGCGTGTTGTGCGTGCTGTGCATGCTGGGCAATGCTGCCTCAATGATAACATTGTTACATCCTCAGCCTACAGAATCACTCGGCTTACATATCAACGCGAAGCCGCAAAGCCGTGAAACCCCCTTCTCCTCCCAGTCAAGCTGCTCTCGTGCCGTAAGCTTTTCAGGATCTGTATCTCCTTGAGAGCGCGCAGGCGGCCCTGCGCGTCCAGGCCGCGAAGGGCGATGGCCTTGACCACAAACTGCCGCTCCGGCAAGCCCAGCCGATGCACCACCATCACCGTCGCCGTGGTCGAGCCCCCGAGGCGGCGGAGTGGCACCTTGGCTGCGAACCTGAACTTTGCCTTGCATTTCGGGCCAATCCGGGGTTAAAAAGGTGCATAGATAGGCTCGAGACTGACAAGCGTTGGTCTTTGAACTTGAGACACAGGTTGCATACCAAGCCTCTGAAAGCCTCAAACCCCATTGAATGACCTGCACGCAGCCTGGCAACGTAGCCATGTGCCTCCAGAGACACCTCCGATGCCAGGCGCCTGGGTTGGTGGTTTCAGGTCGCTTCATGTGGCTTCATACGGCTCCATGTGGTTTCGAGATGCTTCAGGCTCCCACCGACAGAAGATCAGAACAAACACAGTTGTCAAATCGGCTTGTTTACGCGAAGAATTTCAAGCGACCGAAGCCATGCAACACGAAGTTGCTTCTCAAGGAACACCTTGCAAACTGAAGGGAAACAAAGAAGGAACGCCAAAACTAGCGGCACCCAGCCGCTGAAATCATTCTGCGTCTAGTGCCCTCCTCCCTAAGATCGACACAAGCCACCAACAACAGCCATCTCGACTACTCATGTCATGCCCTCGCGGATGCGCCCTGGCACATCAGAGAAGCTGCAGAAGCAGCCTCCTCCGCAGCACGTGCCACCTCTCAGCGGTGGTTGCATTACTTGGAGGAGAGTGCCAAGTACCACAAAACAGTCACGACCCAGGCGCAGAAGCTTTGGAATTCTTGTGGCCATGACCCACATCTAGTGACTAGTGAGCAATGGCCCCGCACCTCTTCATCCCTGTTCACAGGTGCACCAAGTGGTGGCACACAATCCATCAGCCTATCCTGTGGGTCCACTGACCGCTGCTGCTGCATGCTCAGGTCTTGGGGTTCTTGCATCGTGTAAGTGTCTGACGACATTAGCCGTGCGAGCTTGAGCAAACAGTGGGAAACCATGTGCAACTCAAGTCTTCTGGACGTCCCTAGGTGCCCTAGCTGCGTGCTGCAGCATTCAAGGAGATATCAAGTTTCGCAGCCCAGGCGACTCTGTACAGTGGGCGGTCTTCATGCTGTACACGTTGACACAAGTCCGATTAAGGCACAAGCCGGACAAGGTCCACAATATCTAGTCAGATCGAACCATCATCTTGCAGCACCTAACAGCCCAAGTCGTCATCACCATACAGCTGGTCATCAGAGTCCCCATCGTCCAGCTCCAGAGCTGCAGGAGTCCTTGGCACGATGCCACACTGCCCTTGCTGCTGGAAAGATATCGCTACACAATGCAGCCGTGCTTCGACTCCATTGGAATGTGTTCGTGCTGGTCGGAGCTGGTGGGATGAGTGGGATGTGCCTGCTAAGAGAAGACTCAACTCATGAGACTTTGATCGAAGCTGGGAAGCCACAAACTGACTCTCTGTGTGTTTGAGGATCAAGGACCTTGCTTGCACCTCCGAACCTGCTCAGAGCAAACTCCATGCATGCGAACTAAGGGTTACAGTCAGCTTAGTCTAGTAAGTCCAGTAAAGCAGTTGGCACAATTCACGCCAATCTGCCGACTCTTCGCACGGATCAAGATGCCAGTCTCCATCTCCAAGAAAGCTCATCACCTGCACAATTGGGCAATCTTCTTTAAGAGAATGCTCACCAGTCAGCGTTGCGCCTCGTCGAAGAACTTGCCCGCAGGCTGCCGGACAAGGGACACGGCATTGGCATCATAACCTTGGCTCACTCCATCGAGCTTGCGGTGGGAGAGGGGGGCTGAGAGGTTCGAGGTTTGTTGTGCGCCATCTTTTGTTTGTCTCGAAGGCTGACAGGCAAACTAAAGATGGCTAACAAGGGCCGCTTCAGGCGTTTCAGCGCCCTGTATAAACACGCAGGAAAGCAACATGTAAATGTCGTGAGGGGGCGTCGGTTGCTGCACGCCGTTTGGACTTGTCTGGTGACCGTGAACCAAAAAAATGCTTCGCTGGTGCCTCTGGCGGCACTGAGCTCAACCTCCTCGAACCATCGCACGGATCTAAGACCCGGAAGACTGACCTCGTTTACCTGAACCATAACCCACTAAACTCTATATATGCGCCAGCATAGGCACCCCCCCCCCCCCCCCCCCCCCCCCCCCCCCATGGTATCCCCCCCCCCCTCCTGTGGTTGGTGGGCTTTGGGGTCCCCTCCCCCCCCACCCCCCCTGTGGTTCATGGTCTGTGGTTCATGGGTTTGTGGTTTAAGGGTTTAGGGTTAGGCTGTAGAGTTCAGGATTTTCACTCTGGTGCATTGGTTCATTGTGGGTTTAGAGTTTAATCAGGGTTCAAGGTTTGGGGTAATGGTAGGTTTACGGTTTCCCCTCTCCCCCCCTGTGGTTCGTGCTGAGTTTACCCTTCAGGGTTCAGGGTTAAAGCGGCTAAGGTTTCGGGTTTACCCTTCTCCCTCCTGTCGTGGTGGGTTTAGGTTTTAGGTTTTAGGGCTTAGGGTTCAGGGTGTGGGGTTTAGGCTGAGGTTTCTCTGTCCTCCCCCGTGGTCCGTGGTGTTTTAGGGTTAACAGGCAGGGTTTGGGGGGGGATGCCGTGGGGGGGGGGGGGGGATACCATGGGGGGGGGGGGGGGGTCGATTACGCGCAACGCGGGCGCATATAAGCCAGTCTAAGCCATAAGCTGACGTCCAATCCATGCCGGACATGCCAGGCCCCTAAACCCGAGTTTTCCTCTCTGCCAGGAAGGAAAAAAGGTTGCTTGAAAACAGTGCTTCACGTGAAGGGCTCAGCTGTGATTCCCTGGCGTGATTCGGCCGAGACGAGATGCCCCAAGTCGGGCAGCAAGCAACGATGCACACAAATCGCTGACAAGGGTCAAGTGTCATCCAGGTTCACCATGATGACAGGAATGCCGCGGCAGAGTGCTTCTGCTGGCAGTTCGTTGGCGGGTCGAACAATCCTTACAATGCGATCGTGGCACTGCTGACTGCGTAAGCCATTTCTGCACCGCTCTTGCTTAGTCAAAATGCAGATGACTTTCAGGACAACCATAGCGAGCGCATGTTCGAGAGCGACGCGGGAAGTGGGGCCGTGGGTGTGCTTCAAGGCAGGTGAAGCGACATCCCCACCAAAGTCCCCAGAGAACAGTCAAACTTCACACCATGGGGTGTACGGCACGCATTCCATCAGTGGTCATTTGAAGGCTTCGAGGCTTCGAGCTTATGATGTGCCATTACAGGGCTCTCCGTGTGAGATGCTCTGCTCTGCTCGGGCTTCCACCGGTTTCTGCAGCTCAGGAAAACTGGCATGAAACAAATCCAACGCAAGCGCGCGCAAGAGTATTCTTGCAGAACCGGCACCATTCTTACATTCTTGACGGCGCTTTGCGTTCCATGGTAGAGTCTGATAGAGATAGGACACGTTCCGACTTCATGACATTGGTCCAGCAGCGAGATTTTAAAAAACTGTGCTCCACATGCTCTGTGTGTTCCACGCGCGGCCAGGACTCAAAGTGCTGCCAATCACAATGAGGAGATCGGATTCCTGGATTGTGCATTGCGCACGCTCCACAGCACCTTCTGGCATAGCCTGCTCGAACAGCACAGTCTCTGTGCGGAGGGGCGAGCCGCACTTCGGGCACGTAGGAACATTGTCATCGCCGCAAGCTGTCGTGGCACATTCCTGTGTGTCAGAGCAGTGCCGCTGTAGCAGTACCAGAATGTTGCCTTCAAGCTTCAACGTAGTTCGACATAGTACTACATTTGAGCAAAGGTGCATAATCACACTCCCCAGTGGCAAACGGCTGCGGATTAAGGGGGGTGCGGTGGTCGGAACAGATCAGGCGCCGCATGTGACCGTGCAGCTCATTCACCTTGCAGCCACATCACGCTTTCAAATGAAGCCTTCAGGATTGGCATGGTGTACTTCAGTGGCTCCGCCTTCTCACACGGAGCTCCGCCACCCTGATGCAGCGAATCAATGTTCTGGGTGATCACACCTTTCAGCCTCTCAGCTCAGAAAAGCAGACTTGCAGGGGCCTGCAAGGATTCGAGGGCTGTGGGGCATCTTCTCCCCGATTGAATGGTTGAAAGCATTCTGACGCACAAAAGCAGGAACATTCTGGCTCACAGGCCCTGCAGCTTGCCGCGCTTCTCCAGCTCGCCGAAGAAGCAGTGTGCAGGGTTGGCTTTTGCCATTGACATTTCTTTTAGCAGCTTTCGCTTCATCGCCCACCACTTCGCGCGGATATCAGCGTCGCTGTTGAAGCCGTCAACCTGCCGGAAAGAGTGAGGTCTCAGTGCAGTCTTGGCGCAGCGGAGCCCTTCATCCAAAGTTCTACACGCTCGAAACGATCCAACGAAGGCAACTGATGTGCATGCCATTTGCGACGGGGCACTGTCATCTGCCGTGCATCGAACTCTGCCCAGATTGCAGAACCGCCGTCCGAAGAGCTTGGCAGACGGAATGGAGTAATTCCTTCAAGCACCCAAGTGCTCGTGCCGTGCGCGTTAGCGAGACACGTTCTCAGCAGGAAGTACATGCTCTGGCTTCCTAGCTGCAGTCCTGATTCGACTGAGATACCGGCGCCTGTCAGCGCAACAATGCGGCTTGCTCGTCGCACTATCTTCGCCACCTCTGCTGCAAATGGCCCGAACTGGAAATGGCCCTTGCATTGCATGTGAACTGGAAGAAAAAGCCTTCGCCACCACCTCATGCACTCCCTCAAATTCTTCCACAGCCAAACCCGGGTCCCAGCCACGTTCTCGGCAGAATTGAGCTGCAGGGTGGGCCGCGGATACTCCACCCCCAATGCCAAGTCATCGCGCACGGTGCGCTCAAAATGTTTGACCTTGCCAGCTGCAAAGGCTTGATACAGCTTGATACTCAGTCGATATTCAGTCGAAATTCAATAACAGACATTGGAGGCCATGGAGGCCATGGAGGCCTCGCCTCGGCCGCATCCAGTCTGCTCAAGCCAGAGGGGTCTCGCACCACCAGCGTCAAATCCTGCCGCGCTCTCTTTGGCCACGCGATCATTCTCTCCGCACTACTTTGCGCCGCCAGACCCCATGCCGCCAGATTGGACTACGTGGACTACATCTCTACCTCTCCCAAATTTCTTTTGATGCCTCAAGGAACCTCGACCATCCCAACACAGATGCAAGCGTGCTGTCCTTCTCTCCTGACAATGCCGCGTCCAAGGATTCTAGAAGCACGTCAAAGGCAGCGCGAGACGCCTCGGGGTACCGCCCACGGGCCTCCCAGACCTGCACAAACAGGGCACCCGCCACGTCTCCATTGTGCCCCGGTGCACATGCAGGATTGGTTACAGCAAGGGTTGCCAAAGAAATCTTTGGCTTAGCCATGATTGAAAGTCCCCGCTTCTGAGATTCTGCGACCCTATGCTTGGGCTGACGAACCCGAAAGGCCTCCTTTTCCTTCGTCCCTCACGCTTTGTTCCGGAAGATGCCACCCTTGCATCGTGCCCCAGCCCCTGGCCCTGAAACGGTAACTTGCACACGAAGTCCGTGTAAACGTACAGGTCATGGCCCTTGTTGATGCTTTCGAACCCTTTCTTGTCCCCTCTTCTTCAGCCCTACCGCACTGGATCATAAACGTAAAGCTTATTTGGCCATCCGAGCCTCCCAGCTCTCGTAGACAGTTAAGCCGTTAAGCCAGAGCTGACGGCACGGGCCCCGAACAACCGACTCCCAGTCGCAAGGATGCAACGACTCCGGCACGCTCCAAAGAGCCAAACTCCAAAGCGCGAATCAATCAAGGAGCGGTCAAAACACCAAAACCTTTTTCCTGAAACCCGTGGTGATACCTGGACCGTAGAAATCCGAAAACTCTGCACATGGCCTCACGCTGGGCGAAGCGGAGGAACTCGGAAACCTGTCAGTCAGGGTTTCCAGAAAGAGGCTTCTAGCAAGAGGCTTCTAGCAAAAACCTGAACTTGTCCCAAACTGGCTATGAACCCTTCCGAAAGGTTCAAACATTCCTGCTCTTCAGCCGTTTCAAGGCATAGAACCAACAAAGCAAGCGGAACGGCAGGATGCGAAGCGCCTTGCCCTCGAAGCCACGATGGCAAAAGGCATCCTGCTCCTCGAGCAGCATTATAGTTTTCATTTGCTGTAACCCCCTATTAAAAACTCCCCAATATACGATAATTTGACTAGAATGGGGGGTATTTAATATTAGGGGAGGGGATTAGTGCCAAGAGGACTGGAACCCGTTGAAGCCTCAGGCGCCTTTGCACATGTGCGAGGCGAAAGAATGTTTCAAGCTCAACTTGCTTGAGGTTCGGCAAAAAATTGGCTGGTTGTCATGTGTGATATGATGCATGTTGCTACTTCCGACGCGGCTTTGTTACATCTTGCAGCCCTGAAATTCTGCAGTCTGTTGCCAGTACATCATAATTAAGCAACATCTTTTGTGAAGGATTCGTGAACGCAGATGATGCGTTACGACTACTTACGCATGGATGTGTGCAGAAGATCTCAAGCCTGGCAGCCAGCAACAAAGAATGCAGCATGGGTTGCGCGTTCTTTTTTGACGTCAGTCACCTGACGGCGGATTCAAAGCTGCACCTGTTACGGCAAACGCACTTTTCTCAAAACTGGAAGGGGCAGTTGCCCTTCTGGATTCGGACCTTGAACCTGCTCCCAACACTACAGCGACTGAACTCATAAAAACCTCTCGTATGCAGAATCGAGGGGTGGAGAGATAAACGGAGCTGGAGGCTCTTCATTCCCTTGACACACGAGCCACGGCTCCACTTCGAGTTCTGGCAGCTGCCATCGCGCGGCATTGGCCAAACGAAGACGTGCGCCGAGGTTGCCCAGCTGCGCCGAGAAGCTGCAGCCTGCGAAGTAGCTGACTCTTGTGGACTTTCAAGAAGAGCTCAGGTGCACGCAAATTCGTTTCCGTCAGCTTCTAAGCCTTGGCCGGGCAGGTGGTGCAGGTGGTCGCGCACGTCTACAGCCGACATGCTGTGAAAAAATTCCTTGAGAAGCGCAAGCACAGTGGCGTAGCGGACAGTACGACATCCCGCCCCCCGCTCTGACGATGTGGATACAAGTGAAGGCCACCTCAAGCAAGCTTGAGACCTTTTGTTTCGGCTTGCCTCTGTCACGGCACGGCCAGCGCCCAGTAGTCCAATAGGCACCCTTTCAGAACCCAATTGACAGGCACAGCCGGCTGTCGACCTAGACAGATGAGACAGGTGCCCCCAACCCCTGCAAATGCTGTCGATGCACTTCGCATCAACTTTGCAAATTATGTCCAACCTCCAGACCAGACTCACCAATAGAGGTTTCGGTCTGCCGATCAGAGACCAAGTGAGAATTCTGAAAATTGCCCGCGTCAAAAGCGTGATGCACCGCGGGTTTTGCAAGGCTTTTCCCTGCAAACAAGTATTTGCACCAGTCAACCACCACACACGTCATCACACCATGATGAGCCTGCGTTGCCCGCCGTTGGCTTGATCCTGATTTACGTCCTGGTCAGGCTTCTGGTGCTCGTCCTTGTGCTCCTCAACATGCTGGTTATTGTTCTCGGCATCGTTGCGAAGCCATTGGGCATACAGGTGAGCTTGCTCATCCTGGAATCTCCACAAGTGCTGCCTCAGAAGCTTTGCAGCTGGGTTAGAATGGGGGGTGTTTGCCTTTTTTTGGTTCCTCTCCCCTGGTTCTTAAGTGAGCCTTGGACTGCTGATCAAGAATTCCTTCGTCCCTGCGCGCTGTGCAAGAAATGGCTTCAAAGGGTACGTTGGGGCATGCCGCGCATGGTTCAACCGCTCCTCAGAGGAACATTCTGAGACAGGGCTTCAAAAGAAACCTGCTCCATTTTTCCTGCCCATCTGAACACTTGCAAGAAGTTCCACGAAGCTCTGCTGGAGCTTGCACGGGCTGAAGCGGACAGCTTCCATCTTGCCATGTTCTACTTAAGAAAAGCTGAGGCACTGCATAAAGCTGTCAACTTCCCAAGGGTTGATCCACTGCACGCTGGACACTTCGTGGTCCGGCCCTTTCCCCGGGTTCTGCTGCTTCAGGCTGCACCTCGTGTTTGGCAGCTCAAAATCATCAGCGATGGAGATATCTATGGCAGAACCTATAGCAAAACTGCCTTCGATGGCTTTTTAGATTAACGACTAGCAGTGACTAGCATGGCCAGCCTGAAGATGCGAAAACCACCACGAACGGTTGCAAGGAGTTCTCCGACTTCCACAGGATAGCCCGACTCCTCCCACGTCTCTCGCTCTGCGGTTCTTGTTGCCGGCTCTTGCCAATTGGTTTGACCACCTGGGATGTCAAACTTGTTGCCGTCGTAGGTCAGCTTCACTGCTAACATGGCGCCGTCTTTCTTCACGAAGCAGCCGGCATGCGAAGGGGCAGCATCTGCCTCAGATAGTGCTCGAGTGCTGTTGGTGTCAGGCACACCAGCAACTGCCTGAAGGCTCAGCCAAGAAAGCAGCACGCGAAATCCGGCCATAGCTCTCGGAGTGGAGTGGAAGGCTGCTACGACTAGCGCACAACACACGTGAGTTTCCACGGCGTGACGCCTGGAGCCATGCAAATCGACATGGTTGGCGGATTAGGTGCTTCTGACTTCAGCAGCTTCACAAAGCTGCACACAGCTGTTTCGCCGGGCTGACAGCGCACTCTGTCATCTCAGCTCTTTAGCAGATCCAGGCCTGGCAGCCGAACGCACCATCGCGTGAAGAAGGAGTGATCCAGGGGAAGCATTTCCCTCGTTCAGCCGAGGTACTCTTGAGGTATGCCTCCAGCTTCTGGGCTGTCTCCGCCGAATACGGCTGAACTGGTCTGTGAGTGTTTTTTTCCTCCTCGGACACACAGGAACTGCCCACAGAACCCCGAAGGAAACATTTTGAGATTTCGGTTTCACGGGATGCCAAGGAGCCGCAGGCATCAATCGCAGCCATTTCTGCCTTGTCTGGGTCACATGTGTTCAAGTTGACCTAAATCTAACAACCCCTTCGCGAGAGTTGGGAATAAGCCATGCTCACTGAAGAGTGCTCCCTGGACTTGCGGACGACGGGACTATGCAAGCTACTCACAAGCCTTTTCATGACCTCCTTACAGCGAGATCCATCACGGGCGACGGGGCTCGAGGACCGGAACGGTCACCGAATGCCACCGCGAACTACAGGCCCTTCACATTGCAGCCAGCTGTCCGATTTCCATTGAACCACTTCTGCTGAAACTCAAGCCTCAAATAGCATGGCTGAAACAGACTTCTTTTCGCCAACACCAACCCTTGCAGCAAATTTCCCCGATGGCATCTACTGGTGCCAAGTGTGCATGCATACATGCCGTGCTCATCCCCAAGATGCAACTCAGACTTCATCAGCGCAGCCAAGCCAAGCCGCTCTGCTTGCACCTCCTTCATTGCCTGGGCACCGCCCGTAACCAGAGAAAGCGGGCGCTTTCTGGGCGCTGATGTCTTAGCCTGCCAGGTTGGCGCGACTCGCTTGCGCAATGTCAATTGGCTAAGCCGGCAAAGCCAAACCAGAGCCCAAACGCAAAAGTTGGCTCAGTTTGCGCTTTCTCTTCTCTGGACATCCAGCGCCTGACGTTGTAGAAGGTCAGCTAGCAGTCGCCTCCCGCTTTCTTGAACTGCATTCGCCAACCGCTCCTCTCACACCACCTTCCACGATGCACTCAGCTCGCCTCCTCTTCTCCTCCGGAGTTGGCGTTGGCTCTGCTGAAGCAGGCCTGGCGTGAGACATTGTGAGACCAGCCTGCCTCTCCCTATGTGTGATGTCAGCGACATGGCGATGCGAGCTCCCAGTCGCCCGCAAGGCACAAGCGACGGTCCAATCTCTAGCCGAGCAACAAAGCAGCCGAAGGCGTGGCCGCAGGCTTCGCGACTGGTTTGCCTTCGACTCATCTTTGCTGCGCTCCGTTAATTATGTTGCTTTTGCTTGGCTCCAAGCATGGAAACTTTGGTCACTACCCCACTATGCCCCAACCACAGTCAATGCCTCTGTGGTGGCCGTCATGAGGGGAACTCTATTTCAACAAAAAAGAAACGCAAAGCCTGAGGGGCTCTGCGGGAGCTTCGGGGCCGGAGCTGGCGCCGCCCTGCCTTGGGAGGTTTTCTGGTCAGGGGGGTTGTAGGATGTTGAAGGTCGTACTGGCCTCTTGCTCTTCTCCTTCAGCAAGTTTTGCGGGCCCTGTGCCACCTACCCACGTACAAGAATAAAGGGAGTTCTTCGTGGATATATTCGATATGGACATGGCGATCTTGGACCTTGACATGTTCGAAGACCGGAAGGTCAACGCGAGCTCACACGGCTAAACATTCCAAATATGAGCATGCTTCCGCATGCCCACCCAAACTGGCACATGTCTCCCCGCCACACATGCCTGTCGCATGCCTTGTCCATAGAATCTACAGTTTCAGCTTGGCGGCATGTCACGTGTTTTTGCAAGCCGAGCTCTGGCGGGCCCTTCTGCTATTTAAGTCAGAGAGCCATTGGCACAAAGAGAAATAGGATCCCTGAAGCAGCCTGCCAGTTCAGATCCAGTTCAGGCCTAGTTGGACCGCCTGACACAGCCTGGCTGCCAATAGGCGCGCCTCCCTAAAGATATCCAAACGAAGAGGCCTGAACTGAGAAACGGCCTGAGAGCCCCCCAACCTCTTGGCAAGTAAGTGTCGGTTTGGGGTGGCATCCTCTCCAATAGACTCTTGTGCAGCCGGGCATCTGGGAGGCGATTTCCCTGCAGGAACATGCGCCTGCATGGCAACACAGGTGCTATGTCTTCTTCTGAATGTAAAATAAAACATGGGCAACGTGCGACCACATGCGCAAGACTTGCGCCTTGGCAGCTTCTGGCGCCTTCCTGGGTGCTGGTACGAAGCCCTGGCAGACACAATAGACATGCGCTCGAAGGACCACAAACAAAGAGCTTTTGAGTGCCATCAGAACATCAGAAGCCTACAGAAGCCGCTCATTGTCGCGCTCCACAAAACACCTGGCCTTAGCAGCTGCCGGCGCTGCCGCTGCGGGAGGTACTGCTGCAGCCGCTGCGGGGGGTGCTGCTGCGGGCGCTGCTGTGGTCGCTGCCGCCGGTGCAGCCGGTGCTGCCGCCGGTGCTGCTGCCGGCGGTGCCGCCGGCGGTACTGCCAGCGATGCTGCCGGCGGTGCTGCCGGTGGTGCTGCAGGCGCTGCAGGACGCACAGCTACCGGCGCTGCTGCCGGCGGCGTTGGTGTTGGCACTGCGGTTGGTGCTGCAGGAGGCACTGCTGCGGGGGCTGTGGCAGGCGTTGGGGCAGGCGCTCTGGCCGGCGTTGCGGCAGGCGCTGTGGCCGGCACTGCTGCTGCGGGTGCTGCGGCAGGCACTGTGGCAGGCGCTGTGGCTGGCGCTGGGGCAGGCGCCGTGGCAGGCGCTGCGGGAGGTGCTGCGCTGGGGGCTGCGGCTGGCACTGCGGCAGGCGCTGCTGCACGCACTGTGGCAGGCGCTGCAGCAGGTGTTGCTACAGTCGCAGGCGCTGCGGCAGGCACTGCGGCAGGAACTGCGGCAGGCACTGCGGCAGGCACTGCGGCAGGCACTGCGGCAGGCACTGCGGCAGGCACTGCGGCAGGCACTGCGGCAGGCACTGCGGCAGGCGCTGCGGCAGGCGCTGCAGCAGGTGTTGCTACAGTCCCAGGCGCTGCGGCAGGCACTGCGGCAGGCACTGCGGCAGGCACTGCAGCAGGCACTGCGGCAGGCACTGCGGCAGGCACTGCGGCAGGCACTGCAGCAGGCACTGCTGCAGGCACTGCTGCAGACGCTGCTGCAGGCGCTGCTGCGGCTGCAGAAGCCTCCTCATGAACGATATCGACATTTACCACTTCCACTGCTGGCCCGTGATATCCCATGCCGTCCACCAGTATGATTCCATCCGTCACTCACAAAACCCACATGCAACACTTTGAAAGGTCTTGACAGGTCCTTGGCAATGGTCACGGAAGCCTCCAAGCAAGCGCGCATGTCCGGTCACCCCACAATGAACGCATGAACACACAGCAGGGGCGTGCGCATTAACTGCAATGTTTCTGGTCGGCGAAGCACCGTGGCAAGCTGCCATGAGAGGTTCGCCCCACTTCAAAAACGCAGTCCGACATGCGTCATATCGCTGTCTAGACTGGTGACACGTTCAGTCATGACGAGGATCCTTGATTCTGCTAGGTTGTGGATGATAGGTGGCTTCTGCACTGTGGAGCGGATCCTGGTATGCAGTTCGCAAAACGGACTGGGCCAGAAGACTCTCTTCCCCATGAGCCTGAGGGGTCACTGGGGCTGCTACTGGCGTTCCTTGCAGAACCTTCTGTGCACAGGCTCAGGCTCTCACAATTATAATTTGCAGTGTCACAGTGCGGGTGGGCTACGGATAGGCTATGGGTCCACTTTGAAGGGTGAAGGTTAGGGTCTGCACTGCTTGGGGTGTCGGCCGATTCTGAGCGACATGCCGCCTCAGGACATCTAGGCGGAGATCTGCCTCCAAGACTCCCAGTGCGGGTTGTTCTGCTTCGACATCTGCTTCAGCTTGTCCTTGACGGTCACGGTGCTGCCAGCCGGCTTGGCGCGCTCCCACGCCTCCTCCAGGCCCTTCTCCTCAGCTGTTAGCAGCAGTGCACATACCCCTGTGAACACCTAGCGGACCTAGCGCATGGCCCAGTTTTAGCGCTGTCAATACACGGTCTGTACTGCAAGTAAGACATCAAGGCATGTCGGATGTGCAATCATGTCCACGGCAGTCCAGTGCTGATCCAAGTCTCGTAGTCGTCAGGGTTGATCAGGCCGTCGAGAGGGTCCTTCGAGTTGGCGAAGAGCGGATGTTCCCTCCAAGCTTCTTCGAGCTCCTTGGCCCGCTTGGTGCCTGGGACCACTCGCCAGAAGGCATCCTCCTGAAAAGAATACAGGACGAACATGCCCATGGCAACGGCAGGGAAGACCAGGGTGGTCAACGGCACCAGCACTGCCGCGAACTTGCGCTGATCTCCGTACTTCGCCTCCGCGTCGTCAGCGAGCATCGTCAGGGCCGGCAGAGCCGCAGAAGCGGCCACAGCCGGATTGAAGTCGCTGCCTCGAGCCTGTGGCTGCTGCTCCGGGCTCGGCACGAAGCAATAGCGGAGGCCAAGCAGCAAAGCCGCCGCCACCAGCAGAAGGCGTCCCGGGCGTGCCATGGAGGCGAAAGTGAAAGCAGAAGAGGCAGATGTCGAAACTCTATCTTGGAGGCTCTTGCAGCTCTCCTCTTGGCTGAACCAAACTTGCACAGACGAGTGTCCCTCGCAAGAAAACTTTCATCCAACACAAAGAATATCAGATGGCCTGCAAATCTCA